CATTGGAATAACTCGATAGCACTATGCAGAAGATCAAAGCTAGACTCTTTCCTTTCACCATATACAAAAATCAACTCAAGGTGGATTAAAGACTTAAATGTAAAATCTAAAACTGTAAATTTTTAGTTTTTAAAACTAATCTGTAAAAACTCTTGGGGCCAGGTGTGGTGGCTCATGCCTATAATCCCAGCACTTTGGGAGACTGAGGCAGGTGGATCACAAGGTCAAGAGATCGAGACCATCCTGGTCAACATGGTGAAACCCCGTCTCTACTAAAAATACAAAAATTAGCTGGGCGTGGTGGTATGAGCCTGTAGTCCCAGCTACTTGGGAGGCTAAGGCAGGAGAATTGCTTGAACCCAGGAGGCGGAGATTGCAGTGAGCCGAGATCATGCCATTGCACTCCAGCCTGGGTAACAAGAGTGAAACTCTGTCTCTGGAGGAAAAAAAAAAAAAAAAAAACCTTGAAGAAACCCTGGAAAATTCTATTCTAGATATGGGGCCCTGGCAAAGACTTCATTAGGAAGACTCCAAAAGCAATTGCAATAAAAACAAAAATTGATGGGTAGGACCTAATTAAACTAAAAAACCTCTGAACAGCAAAATAAATTATCAACAGAGTAAACGGACAACCTGCAGAATGGAAGAAAATATTTGCAAACTACACACCCAAGAAAAGTCTAATATCCAGAATTTATAAGGAACTTAAACTAACCAGCAAAAACAGAACAATAAAAAACCGTTAAAATGGGCAAAAGACATGAACAGACACTTCCCTGTTTTGTTTTGTTTTGTTTTTAAATCTATTCTGGGTCACGTTAGCTGATGGTCTGTATGAGACCGAACAGACACTTCTCAAAAGAGGACACACACATGGCTATTAAGCAAATAATTACTCAACATTACTAATCACTAGAGAAATGCAAAGTAAAGCCACAATGAGATACTGTCTCATACCAGTCAGATTAGAAAAAAAACAGAAAAACAGATGCTGGCAAGGCTGTGGAGAAAAGGGAACACTTAGATGCTCTTGGTGGGAATTAGTTCAGCCACTGTGGCAAGCAGTTTGAAAATTTCTCAAAAAACTTAGAACTATTATTTAACCCAGCAATCCCATTACTGGGTAAATACCAAAAGAATATGAATCATTCTACTGTAAAGACACATGTACCCATATGTTTACCCCAGCACTATTCAAAACAGCAAAGACATGGCATCAACCTAGATGCCCATCAGTAGTGTACTGGATAAAGAAAATGTAGTATATATACACTATGGAGTACTACGCAGCCATAAAAAAATGAAATTATGTCTTTGCAGCAACATTGATGAAGCCAGAGGCCATTATCCTAAGTGAATTAATGCAGGAACAGAAAACCAAATACCGCATATTCTCATGTGTAAATGGGAGCTAACTATTGAGTACATATGGACACAAAGAAGAGAACAGTGGACACCATGATTTGCATGAGGGTGGAGGGTGGGAGCAGGGTGAGGATTGAAAAACTACCTATTGGGTACTTCGCTCATCATCTGAGTGATGAAATAATCAGTACACCAAACCCCCACAACATGCAGTTTACCCATGTAAGCAACCTGCACATGCACCCTCTGAACCTAAAATAAAAGTCGGAAAGAAAAAAGTAATAATTTAAAAAAATCATCTGGGGGGAAATAGTTTAAATTAGTAGTACCCCCTTGTCTTCAGGGAATATGTTCTAAGACCCCCAGTGGATGCCTGAAACTGTGGATAGCAAATTCTATTACTGTCAGTTGGAACACGTTTCTGTTCATGTGTTCTACCCACAAATTTCATGACTTTTCCACCTTAACTAAATTTTAATCACACAATATGACCATCACTTTAGCAATTTGAGGTACAACAGCAAAACTACTATTAATTTCTTTTTCCTTCTTCACAATTTTATGGATAGAAGATTCGTTCTTTCTGTAGATCTTAGCAATCTTAGTGAATGATTTTCTTTTCTTTTCTTATTAGGTCAAAAACTTTTGCTTTTTCACTTAAAGGAATAACTTTATGTCTTATCTGTAGCATATCTGAATTGCCAGCATCACGGCTCTTGGCTTTGAGACCACTAAGTGGAATAAGAGTTACTTGAACCAAAGCATTGCCTAACTGCAATAGTGAGCCTGATAACTGAGAGGGCTGCTAACAACATGGGTACACTTTATATCCACAGAATGCATCCACACTGAGCAAAGGGAGGATTCCCATCTTGAGCAGGGTGAAGTAGGAAGGTGAGAAATTTCATTGCAGTACTCAAAACAACACGAAACTTAAAACATGAATTGTTGATTTCTGGAGTTTTCCATTTAATATTTTTGGAACCATGAATTGATCGTAACTAACTAAAACCAAGGAAAAGAGAGAACTAGTCCACATGTTGTTTAGTATCACTTTTACAGTAATTTTCTTTTTCTTGTGTGGTCTTATCCCGCGGGCTTCTTTTGTTTTCTACCTGCCTCTCAATCTCCTTCCTCTTCTCAACTTTCATTTTAGCAGAGGCTACATTATAGTGACCCTGTTGGTTTAGGATTTAAAGAGGCATTTATTTGATTTATTTAAAACCTCCACATGCACCCATGAAATAACCAAATGACCTCAGGGTATAAATGGAACTGCAAACTTGTGGTCCAAGGCAAGAAATTCAGTATAAAAACCTTAGGCTACAACATATATGCTAAAATTGCCTTTGCCAACTCCCCTGGCAAAGCAAATGATGTATTGAGATTGTTTCTCACAGATATAGTGGTTGAAAATGACAGCAGTCTCAAAAAATGAGCAATTTTCATAAATATGTATATATTTTGCTCTATACACAAAGAGTAGAACTTATAGCTATTGGGGCCATATCTCAATAAAAATGTGTTGCAAGCAGGTTTCTCTTCGGCATTCTTCCTTATCCCTTTCAGTACAGCTAGTGCTCAACTTACGACCATGGCCGGATCACGATTTGGTCGTAAGTTGAGTAGCCTATATGTACAGTTGAAATGGTGCACGTGGAGATGGTAGTGCTGCCAGAAGCTGGTCCGCACTGTCGTACGCCCAGCTGGGCAACGTTTGCGCTGCCAGACGCGGAGCAGTCGTGGCTAGCGACTGTGGTCGTAAAGTCGAATGGTCGTAAGTTGCATAGGTCACAAGTCGATCAATACCTGTATTCCCCTTCTTTTCACACCCGTTCTGATGTTAGATCTTCCCAGTCTGCTCATTCAGTTTGGGCTCCCTTCTCGGGGAGGCTGTCTTCGGCTCAAAACTTTGTCACTGATAAAATTACTTTCAAAATTTATCTGCGAAGTGGCCACTTTTACTTGAATCCCTGCCCTTGGCTCAATGACAGTGCAAAAATTGGACAGTGGCATATCAATCAAAGAAGTCATTTTCTTCCTAGATTAAACCATAGGGAATGTCTGCTTTCAACCCATTTTTACCTTAAAAAAAAAAAAAGGCATTTTATATGGCTTTTCATACCTCATGGTATCCTAGCTTGAACACTGGAGCAAAGTCAGAAATTTGAGCTCTTGACCTATCTCTGTGGTGCACTACTGGATAATGTTCAGAAAGTTATTTCATGCCTTTGAGCTTCAGCTTCCTCATCTGTAGAAACGAGAGTAACTACCTTGACTTCTTGCTGAGATTTTAAAGAGAACAAATGCGAAAACACACACAATCACCATTTGCAAAGGGTAAAGTTGTAGATGGATGAAAGGAATAATGATATCTAGTTATTTTTCCTTACATGCTAGCCTATTTAAAATGCATAAGCTTCCATGATAAGTGTGGCTAGCAGTGGGGGAACATAAATGATCTAGAGACACCTGTCAACCTACAATGTCAGCTTTATGTCATTGTGCCCCTTTCTTCTTTGGGGTTTATATGACTATAATATTTTTAAAACCAAAACCTTATGGTTTTATAATATGTGTTATATGAAATTTTAATGTTGCTATTTATAGTGAAAGGGAAAAAAGGAAGTGGAGTGAATGGGATATAGATCTCTAACCACTAAAATAAACCTGTGAGCAAATGCATTTTAAGTTCTTCAAGCAAGAATATATGTGTGTGTGCGTGTGCGTGCGTGTGTGTGTGTGTGTATAAAATCACTGATTAAAATATATATAAAATCACTGATGTATGTATATATATGAAACCATTTGGCATTAAGATTGTATAAAAATGTTGCTTTTTCTTCAATAATTGTAGAGTAGATTTTAATTTAATGTATGCAATGTAATCTCTTTTTGGGAGGACATTCCAGGGGGAATTAAAATTTGCACAGGAGTTTCCTTGCCTGGTTTAGTCCATCCAGAGGCTTCAGATGGCCTGGAAACCAACTAAAGTTGTGTGGAGCAATGTAAAAGTCAGTACATGTGGTTTTTTCGCCCTAGGGAGGGACTAAATAATTTTTATAATATTCTTAAAGGGATACTTATCAAAGGTTAAGAACTAATTTTCTGAGTTTAATAAAAATATATTTTTGACTGGGTCGGGGGTGGAGGGAAGGGGAGAGGAGGAACATTGGTGAGTGGGAAGGATGGGGAGGGATAACACTGGGAGAAATTCCTGATGTAGGTGATGGGGGTTGGGAGGGATGGAGCCAGCAAACCACCATGCCATGTATGTACCTATGCAACGATCATGCAGGATGCAGGATGTGGACATGGACCCCAGATCTCAAAGTACAATATAAAAAAATATATGTATACATATATGTTTTTGTATACATTTTGAATCATTTAAATCTTCAGTGCTTATAGTAGTTTATTAGTCTTGAAGGCCTAGAAAGTGAATCACTTAAACAATTTAGCAAAAATAAAAATTTAAAAGAAACCATTTTCTGGTCATTAGAACAAACTTGTTAAAAAATATGTCTTTTTGCTATTGCTTCTCCACTTCAACTCTTGTGACCATGTTTTATTTCTCTCAATTCTCCCTGTCTCATTTTTTTCTGACTGCTGGGTTAAACTTTCTGTTTTTGCAGAATGACCAAAAACATTGGTGATGATGGAGGTGGAGATGACAACACTTTCAATTTTAGCTGGAAGGTCTTTACCAGCTGGGACTACCTGATTGGCAATCCTGAGACGGCAGACAACAAATTTAATTCTATCACAATGAACTTTAAGGTAGAGTCATCAACTTCAAAAGCCTGCTTTTCGTATTTCTAAGAGTAAAATTGGAGGCATTCCATCTGGTCCAGCTAGTGTAGTATCTTGATAATTTAAAAGAAAGATTAACTCATGATTTCTGCCTACCAGGATCTTGCCATGGTTCTGGTTATTACTGGAAAATCTTCCATGACCCATAACAGCACAATTATCCCTTAAGAACTTCTCTAAATCTGGTAATAAAATAATGTTATTGGATTGCAACAGGACACCATGAGTAATCAGAGTCAGATATTTTTAAAACTAGAACAATATTCACTAATTATTTACAGGAATAAGCATAATATTTAAAATGACCCTAAAACATTGTTTTATAGTTTGAAAAAATTTTGCTGGAATGAAAATTTTTAGAATGAAGACTATTCTAATATCAGATCAATCACAGTTTGTTTGCAAGAATTCTTCCTTCTGTCTCTTACTTGACATCATTTTTTGGCAAGATTCACCTGGTCTGTAGAATCTCAGAGTTAGTCTACATTGTCATTCCTCACATTCTGATGATTGTAAAAATAACTTTTGAGTTTATGATAACTTTGAAAATATAGTTAAGATATTCTATTTTGAGTTGTTTGTTTGTTTGCATGGATACAGGAAGCCATAACAGAAGAAAGAGCAGCCCAAGTAGAAGAAAACGTCCACTTGATCAGATTCCTGAGGTTTCTTGCTAACTTCTTCGTGTTTCTAACACTTGGAGGGAGTGGATACCTCATCTTTTGGGCTGTGAAGCGATCCCAGGAATTTGCACAGCAAGATCCTGACACCCTTGGGTGGTGGGAAAAAAATGAAGTTCGTCTCTGCATGCTTTTTATATGCTTAGAACCTGACATTTGCTATTTTGTGGGTTATGCTTCTTTGATGGAACATTAAAAAAGGCCACTCTTTACCTATCCCCGATCCTGTCCTGACAGTTAACCAATCATGTTGCTCATTTTCCATTCTTTTCTAGTCTTATTTCTAAATCTGTACTGTCTGTTTTTCATTTTGTGACATGATGGAAAATTAGAGTCAGAAAAGATACTTAAAAACACATAGTCCAATCATTACATTTACAGATGGGAATGCTGAATCTCAAGAGATTGTGTGATATGTTTATGGTCACAGAGTTAGTAGAAGAGTTAGGGTGAGAACCTTGGAGTCTTGACTTCGAGTCCAAGGCTCTTTCTTGTTGTTTTCTCCAAATCCTTCATCTGTCAGTAAAAGATCAAATTGTTTCCTGAATTTTTTGAAGTAGCCATGGTAAACCCACTGATTCCTGTGTTGATCTCACTGGAAACACACAGATTGCTTCTCCACCTTTGGGCATGTCTGGGCTTCCCTCTGTTTTTCAGTAGAAGCCTAGCTGCAGCATCTCCATCTCCATTGCCTCCTGCCTGTACTTTACTTCCTCTCCCTCTAAATGCTATTTAAATAAGGAAGGCCAGTTCTTTTCCAGGAATTAAACATTATGATTGTAATTTGCCTTCAGAGTATCTGCCCACTTAGTGGAGCAGAGAAAAGAGGTTAAAGGTAGATCATTTAGAATTAGAAAATCACTGGTCATGAGTTGTTGCTAGAGCCTCTTCCCTTTCATAAAATGTTATGTGTATAATGTGACATCATTTTGAGCTTGGGCATTTTCAAAGTGTGTGCAGATTTAGGCTGTGGGAAGTGTAGACTTCCCACACTGAAGCTTTTGTAGAACTGTATAGATCAAAAGAATTAAAATATGTCTTTATAAGCATAGAATTTCCTAAAAAATCTTGGATAGCAAATGATATAATCTACTTAGAAAAACAGTTTCCAAATAACATTCTAGGTATTTCAGAAATGGTACCAATAGAGATGGGACTAGATATTTTAAAGACTTTAATATACAGTCATTACATGAAAACTTATAAAATATAAGTCATTCAGCAGAGGGAGTTTGTTTATTTAAAATGAAAAATGGAGGAACACCTCAAAGCATTTATTAAGTTTGCTTTCAAAATTGTCTCATAATTGTAATAGTACATGGAGGCAACATTATCATGCAGCTTTGGTGCATTATTTATATTGATTATGTTTTTGTATAAATGAACTATATTAAATGATGGGTAGTTGATTATCATTTAAAAAACTATATTTTGTAAGAACCTCTTTAACGTCTATTTTAGGGACCCTATAAGTTTTGGGGACCAATGAAGGTAATAATGGAGGTTCATGAGTAACTTTACAAATTTGATGAAACCAAGTTTAAATTGACCTTGCATAAGATTTCACAGGATCTGCCAAATTTTCTTTACATTCATCTAAAATTATAGCATGCTGATTTCGTATTATGTCATGCTGAGATTTGTTGGTCATACTTATATAATGTTTTAATAAAAATGACAAAAATCTAATAATAATTGTTTTCTAAATATAGTCCGGTAGTTATTATAATTGCTCACACCATGAGGTCCACAGGAGAAAATAGGAAATGTTTAGTGGTGACAATTTGAGCCAGGTATTTGAAAAAGGAGACAGTCACCAGAGTTACCTATATCTGTTTTCCCCCATTAGAAAATTAGTATATGTTTTGGATTCTTTTTATTGACTTCCAAATAATATCACCGTAAGTCTGCCAAACATCCAGGAAATAAGAAGCACATGTTTCTTACTTTTCATGTTTCTATTCCTTCTTCTCTCTCTCTCCCTTCTCTCCCCACCCCTGCATTATTCTCTTGTCTCTGGATTATAGCTCATTCTCTCACTTTTGAAACTTTTCTACCTTGGCTTCCATAACATTATGTCATGTGTTCTCCGTTCGTTTCTCTGAACGTCTTCTGTTTCCTTTAATAAAACTCATTTTACGTGGGGTTTTCTTTGGCCTTAAAACTTTACATTTGCCAAAATTCTGTATTTAGACTTAAGCCCATCTCAGGGAATTAATCCATTCTAACTGATTAAACTAGCCCATGTACTGATGATTGTCAGATTCGAATTTTCAGTTTGAACCTCCTCCTCAAGCAGATCATTTTCCATTTCTTTGGAAATCTTGTTGTGAAGTGCGTCACCGTATCAGAATCAGTTACCGCATAGAACAATATGTGTTCTCTGTGTAGAGATTTATGCAATTTGCCACCCTCATTATACCAGGAAACAGACTATTACTACTGGCACATACACACACTCAGACACATGTCTATCTTGAAAATGTAAGTTGAATATTGTCCTTGTCTTTTATTGAGATCAAATTCTAAGCATGCATAAAATAATCTTTTTTAGTCTTAAAAGAGATCAAAGAAGCATAGCTCAGAATCTTCCGAAATTCTGGCAAAAAGCAAATAACTTTTAAACACTATTAACCTAGTTTCTCCCTTGTGCCCCCTTGTAGATGAACATGGTTATGTCCCTCTTGGGGATGTTCTGTCCAACATTGTTTGACTTATTTGCTGAATTAGAAGACTACCATCCTCTCATTGCTTTGAAATGGCTACTGGGACGCATTTTTGCTCTCCTTTTAGGCAATTTGTATGTATTTATTCTTGCATTAATGGATGAGATTAACAACAAGGTAAGTCTTGTTTCTGGATTGCCCTTGCCATAAGAGTGCTTGCTGTTCAATTCTCAGTTTCAAGTTTGCCAGAAATGCCTTTGAAATCTCCGTTGTCTTCATTTTTCTTCCTTTTTGCTTTCTAGATTGAAGAGGAGAAGCTAGTTAAGGCCAATATTACCCTTTGGGAAGCCAATATGATCAAGGCCTACAATGCATCATTCTCTGAAAACAGCACTGGACCACCCTTTTTTGTTCATCCTGCAGATGTACCTCGAGGACCCTGCTGGGAAACGATGGTGGGACAGGTAATGCCATGAACAGAAATGTTTGCAATTAGTAGATTTAAAAAAGAGCAGAGTCAATATTTCTTCCATAAGAGTAGCTTTTTAAAAATTGCTTTTTAGTAAAAATAGTTAAGATTTGTTTAATATTGACTGTGTGCTGGCTATGAATTTCATGTATATTATCTCATGCTATTTGTGAATCCATCCCTTAAGGTAAATACTATTTGTATGCCCCATTTACAGTTGCATATAAAGGAAGGATAGTTGAAAAGTGTGCAAAGAGATGTTTACTATCTGTGTTATAATAAAGTACCCGATTTCGATACAGGCCAAAGCAAATATTTAAATGGAACTCTATTTAGTATTACTTGTTTGCTGTAAAACAAAATAAGACAAAACAAAGCAAACAAAAATAGAGTCTTAGGGAGTGGCCAAGATAGCCAACTAGAAGCAGCTAGTGTGCATGGCTCTCAAGGAGAAGAATAGAAGGGGTGAATAAATACAGCACCTTCACATCCAGGTACATGCATGGGATCTAATCAAGGAAACAACTTGACCCCTGGAGAGCAGAGAAAAAGCAAGGCAGAGTGATAGCCCATCTCGTAGTGACATGAAGCCAGGGGACCTTCCTCTGCCCAGGGAAGTTGTGAGTGAATGCACAACCCTGGGAACCCATGCTTCTCCCATGGAACTTGGCAACCCTTGGGTCAGGAGATTTCCTCATGAACCTACTCCACCAGGGCCTTCGTCTGACACCAGAGCTTTGTAATGTCTCAGCAGAGCAGCCACTTAAGCACATGCAGAGACCTGGGAGCCTTAGATACCTGCGATTTTCCTTTTCAGGCTTTCCGTCAAAAGTAGCTGCACATTTGGCAGAACAGGAGGTTAAACCCCAAGAATACCCCTTAGGAAAGGGGCTGAATCCAGTGACAGTCTGCAGGCCCCACTTCACAGCACCTCACAGAATGAAATCCACTGGCTTGGAACTCCTGCCAGTGACCGGTAGCAGTGTTGAATCTCCTGGGACAGAGCTCCTGGGAGAAGGGGTGGGCCATCATCTTTGCTGTTTGGTACACTTAGCCTTTCCAGCCTTCAGGCTTCAGAGTCCAAGCTGACCAGGGGCTGGAGCAGACCCTGAGCACAGCATAGCTGCTCTATAAAAATGTGGCCAGACTGCTTTTTCAAGTGGGTCTCTGATCCTGTTCCTCCTCACTGGGTAGGACCTCATAACTGGGGTCTCCAGCCACCTCCTACAGGTGTGTTTGGGCCAGCAACAGGTCTGTACACTTCTGGGATGGAAGTCCCAGAGGGAGGGGCAGGCTGCCATCTTTGCTGTTTCACAGCCTTCACTGTTGATACCTTCAGGGAATAAAACATCTGAGGTGACTAGGGACTGATGCAGGCTCCCAATGTAATGTAGCCACCCTATGAAAAAGTGGCCAGACTTTTACAAGGGCGCCCATTCCCATATCTTCTCGCTGGACAGGTCCTCCAGGCCTAGTCCTCCAGCTACCCTCTGCCAGAGCTACTGAGCAAGTAGCAGCTCTGTAACACTCTGGACAGTATTCCCAGGGGAAACTGAAAGCCTCTCTGTCACTACCTCTGCAGTAGAACTGCCCTTGCTACCCTTGTACTAACAAAGGAGCTAAGACTCTAAGTGCCTCATCCATACCTCCAACAAACTGCAGTTGACTCCAGGAGAGGAGGCCAATCTGTCTCTCATAGGTTCTACCTACTCCCCCCACTGCTTGTCACCAGACAGGGAACCCCCATCATGGACCCACAACATAGACCGTCCATCCTGGGCTAATTGCAAGGAGTGATTGCTGACCTGCCTCTCAGTGGGATGGAGCCCATACTAAGAAATTTAAATAATGTCCATTTTTGTCAAATAATTTTCCCTTAAGAGAAATAAAATACTATTTTAAGTTATTTATTTTAATGATGATTTTGTAAATAACCCCAGTTGAAGACTAGCCATACTTTCCCAGAGAAAAGAAATAATGTTTCATCTGGCTTTCTATCCCTTAAGGCAAACCAAGGCAAGGCAAATAAAACCAAAGAAAACCCAAGAAAAATCCAGTCCAGATCTCTTATTTTTATACAATTCCAATTTATATTTTGAAAAGCTTTTATTATTTTACTTAGAATTGATATTCCTAATGTACATTCCATAAATTGATTTTGGGGCTTCAGATTATCATTGAGAACAGCTTTTGTGCAACAGTTCAGTTTAACAGTGACTTGATCTTGTGAAATTATTTGAATAATTCTTTACTGTGTTTTTTTTTTGTAAGATAACGTGAAAATTGAAGGACTAACATTAGTCTTATAAAATTCATATAATTCAAACAAATATGTGAATCATATCTTTAGTCTTAATCAGGTGCTCATCAAACTTAGGCCAATCAATTATGATTCCAATTGTGAAAGAAAAAATAAGGTAAGTGTGTATAGTGCTAGACATGTATCATTAATAATTGAGTACAAAAATTATCGTATAATCGAGAATTCTATTTTACTTTATTCATTAAGCTTTCAGGAACCAGATAAATCTCCTCCATTCATGTTATATGATATTAATTTGATTTCCAGACATGCACATTTCATACAGCTTACAGGAACATACGACACATGAAATAATAAATGAAAGTTGTCTGCACTTTGTAGAGGAGTGCTTGTGATTCAGGATGTGGTAGACAGAATAATGATCCTCTAAAGCTGTCCACATTCGAATCCCTGAAACAATAAATATGTTACATGATAAAATAGACTTTGAAGATAAAATGAAGTCAAAGATCTCAGATTGAAAGAATTATTGTGGATTATGTGAGTGGGCTTAATGAAATCATAAGGATCTTTATAAGCAGGAGACAAAGGGAAAAAGTCAGAAAATTGAGATGTGGCAGCAAAACCACAGGTTGGAGCGATGTGCTTTAAAGATGGAGGAAGGAGATCAAGAGCCAAGGAATACAGGTGGCCTCAGAAACTGAAAAGGAAAGGAAACAGATTTTCTCCCCATGTCTGCACTTTGATTTTAGACTTCAGATTTACAGAACTGTAAGAAGCTAAATTTGTGTTGATTTAAGCCACTACATTTATGGCAATTTGTCACAGCAACAGTAAGCAATGAGTTCACAATGGTACTTGGGTCTCCATGTTCCAAGGCTCTTTGGAGTAAATCTGGCGATGGTGCTTAACACGAATCTCTTTTATCACAACTAAGCTGCTCCCTAAATCTTGAGCACACGATTCAAGAAAGGAAAATATAGAAAGTACAGTTTTCAGAGACTGAAGGAATTTGAGACGTTCTCTTCTGCACATCCTGAAGCACAGGTTGGCCTGAAAGTTAAGAAACCTGCTCTTTAACAGGCAAAAACACCAGTTGAACAGGATTAATAGAATTAGTTGTAAAGAGTAGGATCTGGGCTGGACATTTCTGGAGTGAAGGAATGCATTAATTAGATAGGAATGTGAAAGCGATCTAGGAGAAAGTTCCGGATGCAGATGGTTCTGCAATAGTCCCACACATACTGACCTGAAAGAAAAGAAGTACCATTTACTTAATTCTCCACCTTGGAAGCCCATGGATTATGCTGCTTGTCTTGTCTTTTTTTTTTTTTTTAATCCTGTCTGAAGTGGTTTTCCTTGCTTTATCATCTTTTCTTACTGCCATTTGTGTTTGATTTCTCCCTTCTCTTTCACCTTCCTTTTTCCAAGGAACCATTAATGTCTGAAGAAGTGGGCCAAGGGAAAAGGGATTGTTCTGACTGGAATGTTGACTAGGCAGATAGAATCTCTGGGAACAAAGAACATATAGGACATAACAGATCTGAGTGCTGGAAAGCTCTGGCCTTTAAGAGATCAATATCTGTATCCATGCATCTGGAAAATGTCTATTCTTTAATTGCTTAAAAAGTACACCTCCAGAAGAAATAGTAAAAGGCAGCTTGTTTGCATGTAAAGTTAGATATGCACCCTCATTCATTGTTCTTTGAGAGCATCACAGATGTTTCCTCTTCTCCATGGATGCCCTCTGCTTTGACTATCTCCCAGGATGAGACTCAAAGCTCTTACTGTTTTGAATATAGGATAATGTGACTGCTCCTTTACTTCTGCAGATTCCCAAGCAATCCTTTAGTTTCATTCCTAATGGATTTGATGAGCTGCAGAGCCATTCCTCCTTGAAGCTATATCCTGAGATCTGTGCTTTGGGGAAGGGGAGAAAGCAAGATAACCACAACTATGGCTAATGTGCCAAGTATTTTCTCCTGGAATTTTTATGTTTCATTCTGAGATACATTATATTATTATTCCCATTTTATAGACGAGGAGACTGAGCCTTAGAAAGGTAATTTACTCAAGACCTCTGAGAAAGTCAATGACAGGAGCCCCAATTTAGCCTGCATAATCCGCTTACAGAGTTTGTGTCTTCGTTCACAGTGCCAAATTGTCCCCCAGTTAGCATTGACACACCCTCCTAATGCCTGCCTTGCAACATCTGTATTTGGCGGCCCTTTATGATGTTCCTTGCCTAGTGTTTTCCCTTTACCTATTAATAAATGATTCATTTAGCTTTGCTGGTCAAAGCTGCCCAGGCATTTTAAGCAATGTTGTGTGTGCAAAGTTTTTAGGTGCAGAGTGTGGGTTTAGCAGGAGACCTGTGTGGGGGCCGTGCTCCCCATCCTGACAAGCACAGGAGAAATTAGGAATGAATGGTGTCCTTGAGATGGGCTGGGCTACCATTTTTTGAATTCCCTTTCTTTTAAAATATATTTTTCCTATGGTATTTGAATAAACATTTAACATTTTTAATACAATGTTTGAATCCTCTTCATATATTTTATGTGAACGTTAAGTCACTGCTTGGGAAGAAATAGAATTTCAACCTTTGGGATGAGGATGCTTAAGAGGATAGGGAGGACTTCCAAACCACTCTGAAATGTTTTCTTACCTGAGGAAGTCTTCTTGACCTGGCAGTAGAAACCTAAAAATATCCCTCATAGCCTTCCTCTAATTGATGCTAGTTATTAGAATCTGAGCTAAACATTGCCTGGAAAGGGTGGGCATGGAGGCATGTGTCTGTAGTTGAAGGTACTTAGGTGGCTGAGACAAGATGATTGCTTGAGCCCAGGAGTTCCAGGTCAGCCTGGGCAAGATAGCAAGATCCCCGTCTCTAAATAAATAAATAAATGCAAATAACTGCTTCAGGAAAAGAAAGGAGGCAAAGAGTAGGAAAGAGAAAAAATTATGTCCAAAAATAACCACAGGAATACTATCAATTATTCATTCATTTTGTATTTTTTGAGCGCATGGTAATTGCCAGGCATTGCACTAGATACTAGAGATACACTGGGGAACAAATGTAGACCAAAAAATTGTAAATTTACAGTGGTAACAAGTACTACAAAAATGAAATACATGGACCCTTGGAACCTTTTATAGGGAGCTTACCCTTGTCAGGGAGTTGAGGGAGACTTTACTAAATTAGCGATGCTGTAAGGATACATGGTTGCTTGCATAAACTGAATCAAGAAAGAGGTCCAGCAAGTGTGACTGAGACCATATGTAGAGTAAGACCATATGCAAAGACCCTGTGGCCTGGAGGCGTATGAAGTTTGAGGGTCTAGAAGAAGGCCAGTGGGGCTGGATCAGAGAAGACAAAGATAAACACAGAAAAGGGAAGAGAAATGCAAAAAGAATATGGATCACTAGACAGGTGTCAGATTATGCAGAAGCTTTCAGATTATGCAGAAACATTACACTCTTGCTCCACTTTTCTACTCCAGCTGTTGCAACAAACAACTGCATGTACCGTTACGTAACAGCATCTAGACTGTTCTGCACACATAGTCTTACCTTTACTCCAGTGTTCTCTGCAGTCACCACATGGAACATTAATACTGTATGGGGCCATCGTTGACTAACGGGAAATGAGAGCTGGTGGATAAATACATCCACCTTGGTTGAGAGACTTTCTCTCCTTCACTGTCTTATTCTTCCCACTCCCCTCTCCTGTTCTCTGATATCACTTCCCAAAATGTGCTACTGCTTAAAAGCCCTTTTCACAGGGAAAAGGGGGAACCAAAGCTGAGGCTGTCTCTTATATTTATATATTTAAGTTTCAACATAGGTTTTTGTTTTCATCGTATTTATTTATAGCTAACATATTTATGGCAGATGATATATACATCTTCCATTTATAAATATAATAGTAACAATTATCTTATAAAATAATTATGAAATAGTATTAGTATTTCTAGCAAAATATGTCCTGTTAGATGTTCAGTGTCTTCAGCTTTAGGGCATGGATGACTGAGAAGGAACAGAAAGGGAAGACCAAATGCAAGCTATCATGAAAATTTATAATTTTATGTCTATTTTTATATTTATTGCCTGTTGACATATGAGAAAATAGTGAACTTCCCCTCTAACCCATAGCACACACACTTTGGACATAAATTTAAGCCCACTTGAATTTGAAGCTAACTCAGATAACCAGTTTCTAATTTTCCTGATCTTTTCTTATCATATACATGTTATTAAATACATACATACAAAATATGTATATAGGGTCTTTGTTAACAAATGAGTTCAGACCACATATACTGTTTTGGAAATTTTTAAAAAACATATATCCTATTAGAGCATGGCAATTTTTGTACCTTTAAAACAACTTTGTTGAGATATAAATTACACACAATACAGTTCACCCTTTTAAAATAAAAAATTTGAAAATTAATGAAGATATTTAGGACTTGAACTCAGCTCTGGATCAAGTGGACCTAATGGATATTTACAGAACTCTCCACCCCAAAACAACAGAATATATAGTCTTCTTGGCACTACCTGGCACTTACTCTAAAATTTATCATATAATTGGAAGTAAAACACGCCTCAGCAAATGCAAAAGAACTGAAATCATAATAAACAGTCTCTCAGACCACAGGACAATTCGATTAGAAAACAAAATTAAGAAATTCACTCAAAACCACATAACTACATGGAAATTGAACGATTTGCTCCTGAACGACTCCTGAGTAAATAATGGAATTGTGGCAGAAATCAAGATGTTCTTTGAAACTAATGAGAATAAAGAGACAATGTACCAGAATCTCTGGGACACAGCTAAAGCAGTGTTAATTTCTTAAAGACCTATAACCAGAAATTCCATTTGACCCAGCAATCCCATTACTGGGTATATACCCAAAGAAACATAAATCATTCTGTTATAAAGATACATGCCCACATATGTTTATTGCAGCACTATTCACAATAGCAGAGACATGGAATCAGCCCAAATGCCTATCATGATAGATTGGACAAAGAAAATGTGCCATATGTACATTATAGAATACTATGCAGCCATAAAAAGGAATGCAATCATGTACTTTGCAGAGATATGGGTGGAGGCGAAAGCCATTATCCTTAGCAAACTAACACAAAAACAGAAAACCAGACACCACATGTTCTCACTCATAAGTGGGAGCTGAAGAATGAGAACACATGGACACAGGGAGGGGAACAACACACACTGGGACCTGGTTGCGGGTGAGAGGGAAGGAAGAGGATCAGGAATAATAGCTAATGCACACAGGGCTTAATACTTAGGTGATGGGTTGATAAGTGCAGCAAACCACCGTGGCACACATTTACCTATGTAACAAACCTGCACATGTACCCCGGAACTTAAAATTTTAAAAAATACATTAAATTTTTTTTTTTTAAATACACAATTCAGTGATTTCTAATGTAGTCACGTAGTTAGGCATCCAGCACCACAATAGCATTTTGTTTTAAGAGCTTACAATATAATAAACCATTGTGCAGACATTTAATTTGTTTTGTTAATTAATCTCCCAAGCATATTTGAATTTTTCCATTTTTAATCTGGAAGAAGCAGTACTTTTATGATTGTATGCATAGATTTGTGCACATGTGTGAACATTGCTGTCACAGGCATTTCTAAAAGTGGTTTTCCTGATCAAGCTCCAAACATTTTAAAATGTGGTGGATTTTAATACATTTCTCCCCAACGTTGTGCCCAGTTTAACTTCCCCATCAGTTTATGCTCATGCTATTTCACTACACTAACCAATATGAAGAAACATAGATTTTACATTTATCACTCTGTGAGGCAACAACTCATTGTTTTCATTTGCATTTTTAGTAGTGAGGTTTAGGTATTTTTCAGTTTTAATGGACTGTTGGTATATGTTCTTCTGTGAATTTTTAATTTGTGCCTTTTGTTGGTTTCTTTCTTCATTGGATTGTCTGCCTATATTCATACTGATTTATAAAAGCTTTTAATGTGTTAGCAATACTCATCCTCTATCATATATGCTGCAAGTACTTTTTCCACATTTGTCTTTCAAGTCTGTAAATAGTGCCATTCACCACATAAAATTTTAAACTGCTGTGTGGTCAATATTTTCCTATCTGTTTTTGGTTCCTGTATCATGCTTATAAAATTTCTCAGTAAAAAGAAAACTTTTGATTTAGTAAATGGGAAATAATTATTTTTAAAGTGGTAAAATAGGAGTGAAATATTTTTTATTTTCTTGAAAAGCCTAGTCATTTTCTTCTTTTGCCATTAATTGCAATCTTCAAGCCAATACTTCTTTAGAAACATGACAGATTTAATGCCAACACTAGGACCATTTGAAGACGGAACTGTGTGTTTTAATAGAGATAATATCTCAACAGGAGTTTGTGCGGCTGACGGTCTCTGATGTTCTGACCACCTACGTCACAATCCTCATTGGGGACTTTCTTAGAGCATGTTTTGTGAGGTTTTGCAATTATTGCTGGTGCTGGGACTTAGAATACGGATACGTAAGTATGATGTTAGTTTTGTTCTTACAAGATTTTTCCTTTGTGATTCATCGTTTACACACACTATATAAGAGAAAGGCATCATAGAGTTTACTAGGTGGGATCTTCTTTTTAGAAGTCAATAAATGAAGACCAATCAGTATATTTATAGTGCAGAGAAGGTCAGACTTGAGTATCATGATTTACAATATTCTAGTAAAATTAGCACAAGATAGCAAAAGCAATGGACCTCCACTTGTTACTTAAAATGTTGAACTCAGTAAATCTTGGCCCTGTAGCTCATTCTCCCTATCTAGAAGCAGGGAAGGATGGCTAATATCAACTGCGTATTCTATTTATGCCTTTGAATTCTACTAAACTTCTAGATATTATCATGTGCCAGTCACTGTGCAGTAGTTACGGGGCGAGGACAAAAGGATTTGGTAAATATAGTACTTGCTTCACAAACTTCACAGTCTACCAAGAGCTTGACAGGGACACAAACAAGAGATTGCAGAAGGTTCAAGGAAGGCCTAGTTTGCTGTCATGCATCTGGCAAGTCCTGGAGCTAAATTCTGGCAGGGGCGGCTTCTTTTCCTGAAACAACGGCTCCGATTTCTCAGAACCACGCTGATGCTGACTCCGTCACCAGCTTTCGCTCTATGCTCAATCTCAGGTCCCCCAGCAAAGTCTGAGATCAACAGCACACTCATCACTCTGTGACGCAGATCGCCTGGCTTCCACTGTCCTCCTATGCAGTCAAACTGGCTTCAGTCATCGCAGGAAATAGGACCTGGGGACTTGGTAGTACTCATTTGCTTAAAATCTTCCAGTGGCTTTCCAACTACTTAGAATGACTTCTAAATCCATTTCTAGGCCTTCAGTACCGTGGATGATCTGCTTCTTTTCTTTCTCTCTCAAGTCGTTTGCTACCACTTTTGTTCTTGCTTTGTAAAGTTCACAAACGTGGGCTTCTTTTTTTTTTTTTTTTTTTTTTTTTGAGACAGAGTTTTGCTCGTTACCCAGGCTGGAGTGCAATGGCGCAATCTTGGTTCGCCACAACCTCTGCCTCCCAGGTTCAAGAGATTCTTCTGCCTCAGCCTCCCCAGTAGCTGGAATTACAGGCATGCACCACCACGCCCAGCTAATTTTATATTTTTAATATAAATGGGGTTTCACCATGTTGGCCAGGCTGGTCTCGGACTCCCAACCTCAGATGATCTGCCCACCTAGGCCTCCCAAAGTGCTGGGATTGCAGGCTTGAGCCGTGGCACCCAGCCAATGGGCTACTTTTTATGCTCAAACACAGGATGCTCCTTACATTTGCACTTGCTGTGTTTCTCCCTCAAGGGCTGCTGTTGCCCTAGAACTTGGAATAGCTCGTTTCTTGTCATTAAATTCAGCTATTGTGTTACCTACTTAGAGCTCTTCTCTGACCACCTATTCTAACATAGCTAATCAGGCACTCTTTATTTCAACACACTGTTTTGTTTTCTTCATAAGCTGTGCAACTATTTGACATTACTCTTGTAAAATGTATTTATGGTCTATCTCCTTCTGTTAGAGTTAGAATTAATACTCTATGAAAATAGAGGCCCTGACCTTTTTTATTTGAACTGTACGAGTCACGTCGCAGGCTCCATGTGTTGGCTGGCTGTTTGAATGTTGAACCTCGCATCTTAGCACCATCGAGGCAGCACTCTCTATTGGCAGAACTCTGCCTCCTTTGAAGCATGTGCTTACAGAGTCTCAGTGTTTGTAACGTTTTTGAGTTCTTGAACCAGTCATGCTTCTCTCCTCACCAGTGAGGGAATATCCTTTATAGCTGATCTTCTATCTCTTTTATCTCATGCCCTCTAGTCTCTAGGTAAGTCCCACATTTAGGATTGTTTTAAAGATTTCAGCCTAGATCTTCTGTCTGGCTGTCTGACTTTGAGATGGTACCTTTTATGAGGTCATCTCTATCACCCTCATTGAAAGTGCCTCCTCGGACTGGCCAAAAGCAGTTAGGTAATGCTCTTCAGTGAATGACAGTGAGGTAATGGCTATAGATCCAGGATGCTCTCATGTTGCTTTCTCGTTCTTTGCTATGAGGTATTCAGCTGGCCTGGTTTCATTTCTATTTTCCTTGCCTGATTCAGCTCCTTTGAGGCAGACATAAAAATGGCCATTTCTTCCTTAGACCATTGCTTGGCTTGTGCTTACCTTTTATCCCTTGGCCGCTTTCTTCTGGCAGAAAATCTGATTGCAAATATGAAGTCAATATAACATGACCTGGATGCATAAAAGCTGTAATTAAATGACTGTAATTTATTATTTATTGAGTGCTGACAGTGCTCCTGGGGTAGTACAAAGTACAGGAAAACAGACAAGTTTCTGTTTCAGGTAATAAAGAATTTTCTCCCATGTTACTTTCGGAAGGCTCAAAAAAGCTCTGTCAGAATGAAAACAAGTTTTAAAACATTAATGATGGATGACAAATCTTTGATGTAAATCCCATTGTCGTCGACTTATCAGATGGATATCTTAGACGGGTGAGGGCCTACTAGGTGCAAGCCATTATGAGCAAACTCTGTGCTAGGTGATAACAGAATACAGAGTTGTAGAAGATGTAGACTTACGGAGAGGTTGCAAATTTGTCCGGCAGGGTAGCTAAAGGATATTTTTGTTTGGTATGACAGTGGTGGTGTTTATTTTTGTTTTATTTTTTTATGAGCTAATATTTTAAAATGAGAACTTTTACATAAAAACACATGGATTTCGCCGGGCGCGGTGGCTCAAGCCTGTAATCCCAGCACTTTGGGAGGCCGAGGCGGGTGGATCACGAGGTCGAGAGATCCAGACCATCCTGGTCAACATGGTGAAACCCCGTCTCTACTAAAAATACAAAAAATTAGCTGGGCATGGTGGCGCGTGCCTGTAATCCCAGCTACTCAGGAGGCTGAGGCAGGAGAATTGCCTGAACCCAGGAGGCGGAGGTTGCGGTGAGCCGAGATCGCGCCATTGCACTCCAGCTGGGTAACAAGAGCGAAACTCCGTCTCAAAAAAAAAAAAAAAAAAAAACAAACATGGATTTCTTGTATTTCTTGAAAGGACTGGCAACATTCGGTTCATACTCCCACTAGGGAGAAATTGGCTAGAGTTGAGAAACCACTGCCATCTACAGTTGGGTTATCCATTCTCCAGTTCCTCATACTCTTCACCACTCTTTTCTCTTCAAAACTACCAATATCGATAAGGAACATAAAATGTAAATGCCATAGGAGAACTCAATTGTATGGTCCTTTGGAAGAGAGAGAGAGAGAGAGAGGGAGAGAGAAAGAGAGAGGAAGAGGGAGAGAGAGAGAGAGAGAGAGAAAGAGAGAGGGAGAGGGGGAGGGAGGGAGAGAGAGAGAGAGAGAGATACATTAGTAGAAATGCAGACATGGAGGAGGAGACATTTGAACTAAGTCTTGAAGGATGGTCAGGATTTCAGGAGATGAAAGGAGTCCCTTGTGGAGGGACAAATGTAAGACAGGGACCCAGAGCTAGACAGTATGGGTAACACAGGCATAAATTTAAAAAACTGGCCAGGCACAGTGGCTCACGCCTGTAATCCCAATGCTTTGGGAGGCTGAGGCAGGCAGAACGTGAGATCAGGAGATTGAGACCATCCTGGCTAACACGGTGAAACCCCATCTCTACTAAAAATACAAAAAATTAGCCAGGTGTGGTGGCATGTGCCTGTAGTCCCAGCTACTTGGGAGGCTGAGGCAGGAGAATTGCTTGAATCTGGGAGACGGAGGTTGCAGTGAGCCAAGATCACACCACTGTACCCCAGCCTAGGTGACAGAGTGAGACTCCGTCTCAAAAAGAAGAAAAAAAGAAAAAAACCCACTAAAATGAGGGTTTATTAGAGCAGAAAAGACTGATAAAAATGTTTCTCTGCTATTCTCCTAGACCTGCTAATCAACAATATGGTTTCAGAAAGTACCCGTCATGTAGGGAAGGAGAACCCGAGATGGGCAGAGGAGATACTTGAGAATTCTGTGAGAAATAAAAGAAAAAACGTCCTTTCTACTATGCACGCACGCACACACACACACACACACACACACACACAAACACACACACAAAGCATATGTTTTTTCTTCTGAATTCCAAAAATAATGGCAGTTTATTGTAAAAAATTTGGAAAATACAACAAAGCTAATACAAAAGTAAAAATCATAGGTTATCTCTGCCACTAATGAGATTATTTGAATTGTTGAATCAAAGTCTTAGATAATAAGTGCTACATATTTGTGTATAGTAACATAGATTTATATAAATACACACATATATACATTTGCATATGTATGCGTGTACACAGATAGGTAGATAGGTTGGTTACCTGCCTTTATTTGTTTTACCTACCAGTGACCATGTCCCAATGCTATTAACTGTTGTTTTATAACATACCTTTTAAATGGTTGTATAATATTCTGCATGTGAATATAGTATAATTAATCTAATTATTTTTAATTTACTTTGAGTTGAACTTTGTCTAATTTTTCTTAAGTGTTGTGACGACATTTAATTATATTCATGTAAATAAATGTCTTCATAGATAAATCATAGTGGATGCACACATTATTTTCTTACAATAAATTTCTCTGAGTTGAATTGCTCAGTCACAGAAAGGGCCTTTAAAAAAGCCTATTCACTTTTATTACAACAGCCTCTGTAGAAACTCTGCAGATTTCACCATTAGATTCAGAGATCTATAGAATGCTAAAGTTGGGTGGCTTTTGACACAATCAACTGTAACGCTTGTTTTTAGCCTGTGAAAAATTGCACCTGTGTATTGAAAAGAGGTTCCTAAGTTTACATAGTGAGAGAATAATAAGGACAATGAAGTACACTTCTAGACCAAAATGTTATGTTAAATGTATTGAATTATATACTAGCTTTATCAAAGTAAGTTGGGTTAAAAGGGATTATGAATATTTTTCAAGTCATAAATTTATGGTCATAGTGTTATCACAACAAACCTATGAAGATTAACTAAGTTGGGAAAATTACTGGCTTGGAGCAGATTATTAGACCAATGTAAGTTAATGTAATAGAAGTTAGTATCTCCCAGGGCTTCTCTGAGCATAGTTCTCAATGTTTCAAAAGAGTTCATGGGGAGTAGAATAATTTGTCCCTAGGAAGGATTTTAACTGCTCTAATTTAATACAAAGTATGGCCTCTTGTAAACACTTTGGGTTTCCTGTAACAGTTCAGTGCAGAATGTCTTTATCTTCACTTCCGTTTTCATTGACACCATTCTTACTATTTACCAACAAAGCAAGTGAAGAGTATCCAGGAAGAAATAGAATTAGATTCAGGGCATAATGGGGTAAGGGAGTGTTCAGTAAACTCAGCATGGTCACAATTGTATTTTTAAGGTAATCATTGTTCGATTTGCATAAATGGCGATGGGAAGGGTGCTTAAAGTCTGATGAAGGGTACTCAAGATTATCAGTGAATAAGAGGCATGTAATTGACTGACTACCTGAGTGGATTCCCAGTCATATTATATTGTATTATATTACATCTTAATGTACTGCTTATTTTGTGTGAGAAAATCTACAAAATATATATATTATTTCATGTGATCATACCAGCAATGCTGTGAGCTGGTATTATTTTCCTACTTTGCGATAAACTGAGGCTCTAGCCTCTAGGATGTTAAATAATTGCTCAAAGACACATTGCTGGTTAGGGGTAGAGTTAGGCCTGAAACCCAAGTCTCATCACCTTCAAAGCCATCAACCAAATTTCTATCATGTTGAATTTTCACTGTAATGCTTGACTCTAGAAATTTTAAAACCTCTGCTAAAACTTGAATAATTCATGCATCAAACCTATGGCTTTTGGAACTCACAGTGCTCCTAGTCTTAGGCATACCTGTAGTAGACTGGAGTTAGCAAATGAGATGGGATACAGAATCAGAAGATCAACTATTCTCTAGCTGGGAATGTGGAGTTATATATCAGTTCGGGAAGGTATCATGATAAAGTAAGAAATCATCAACATCCCATGAGGAGTAGAGAACATGGAAACAGGCACAATGCAGACTGCATTTTTTTTTTTTTTTTTTTTTTTTTTGAGACGGAGTTTCGCTCTTGTTACCCAGGCTGGAGTGCAATGGCGCCATCTCGGCTCACTGCAACCTCTGCCTCCTGGGTTCAGGCAATTCTCCTGCCTCAGCCTCCTGAATAGCTGGGATTACAGTCACGCGCCACCATGCCCAGCTGATTTTTTGTATTTTTAGTAGAGACGGGGTTTCACCATGTTGACCAGGATGGTCTCGATCTCTTGACCTCGTGATCCACCTGCCTCGGCCTCCCAAAGTGCTGGGATTACAGGCTTGAGCCAGCGCCCGGCCCCAGACTGTATTTTAAGTGCTCTTTGAATATGTGGACAGGATCTGTCTGCAGTTAACAGGTTGAAGTACAAAGCCTCAAGTGCTCAATCATCCTAGCAGTTGAGGCTGCAGTGTGTCCTAGATCAGTGGTTCTGAAATTTGAGCATGCATCAGAATCCCCTGAGGACCTGTGAAAACAGCATTTCTGATTCAGTAGATCTGGGGCGAGGCCCAAGACTGTGCTTTTCTAACAAGTTCCCAGGTGATGCAGCTGACTCTTGTCTGAAGACCACACTCAAGAGCCACTGCTCTGGAGCCACAGCCCAGGCCAGCTTGCAGCTCTAAGCAGAGTGATTCCAGCTGTGGGAAATGGGATTTATGTGGAGAAGGTCAGTCAACTCATGCCGTGACAGAATTAATTCTCTCTAAGATCCCGAACTGCATTTCATGTTATCCACAGGTTGGCAATCTGTCTCAAATAACAAAACTTGCAGAGAGAAAAGGGATCTTCCCAGGCCTTTTCTTTGTCCAGTGAGCACCATATGTCTTCCCTCTGGGTGGATGACTGACCTAGCACATCACAAGCAAAGGTCCAAAAATTAAACAACATCATTTCCAGTCCCTTGACTATGATGGACTTTAGCCCAAATCCACACAGGCTTTTCTGGTGCTAGCCCCCAACAATCTCACCAGCAATGAGCAGCCATTAGTGAGTTTATTATACTTATCGCATTCAAATAATTTTATGATCGCAAAGTTCAAGAGAATCTGTTTTTTCCTTTTTCCCTAACCATCTTTCACCTTTGAGTTTTTTTCTGTTTTAGAAACTGTTTTTAAAAATTTATTGCAAATTGATTTATATTTATTAAAGTATTGCTTTAAAATTTTAAAATAGAACATCATGCTTAAAGAAGCTTACCTCTAAAAAAATGAGCACTGACTTTTATACTATATACATAGTTCAGAAGTTGGCAAACTTCTGCTCTAAAGGTCTAGATAGTAAGTATTTTAACCTTTGCAAGCCATAGCGTCTCTGTTTTAACTGTTTAAACTCTATTTTTTTAGTACTAGTCATAGACAGTATATAAATGAATGAATATAGCTGTATTCCAATAAAAATTTATTTGTTAGACCAGGTGACAGTCCGGAGTTGGCACATGGACCATAGTATGCTGACCCTTGGTCTAGTTCATTTTTATCGATTTTCGTGTCAGGAAACTAAGCCTAATGAGATAAGTGACCTGCCCAGCTCATCCAGCTAAGAAATGGTAGAGTGAAGTCTAAAATACAGGTTTGAATCCCCGTCAAATGTCTAGTCTACAAATCCACTTGGTCCAGTATGACCACCCTATATCCTTTCTCTGCATCAGGCCAATTTATATACCAAGGGGTTTGTTCCTCCAGCTGCCCCTGCCACAAACACAGCGTGAAGCTAGGGACCCTAGGATGTCCTTTATGCTTTCTAGTCAACTAGTTATAAAATATTTCATCTCAAATGACCTTCAGGAGGTCAAGAGAGTGAAGAAAATAGGTATTTAAAACATTGAGCTTTTTCCATGTTCAGTAGTTTGCTGGGCTTACCTCATCACACCATTCTAAGGTGGTCAAGGTTTAAGGTTTGATTTTTAAACTGACACAGAGAAAGGCTGTTCCAAGGCCACAGATGGCACAGGCCACCCAAATGAGCATTTTTTAGATGTGTTCTGTGATTCACACAGGGCTCCAGGGGAAAAGTGCTGAAGATCATCCAGAGTAGGGCACTCCCCTAGAAGGAAAAAGACTCAGAGTTAATGTTCTCCAGAAAAGAAGCAATTCATTTATTCTCCATGAAGGACACATTTTTTTTTTTCATTGCTGATTTCAGAACAAAAACTGTCAATCAAATCTTTTTGCCTCTTGTGAAATTGCCCTTCTAGAAAATCTGCAAACTACTGAAATACTTTGTAGCTGTCCTTCAACAGTATCTAAAATGATACTCCAATTATCCAGGTCATCTTTGTTCTGTTTAATACACAGGACTCTTATTATTTCGTTATGTATCATCTTATTTTACCTTGAGAGTTAACCATTCCTGTTATGCCATACTTGCTGCTCTGTTACAAGGCAGATTGTCTTTATGTTTCAGTTGAATAGAACAGTAATACTGCCCTTTAAGAAAGTGATGAAGTTGAGGCCTGGATTCATGAGACTCTTGAGCCCAAGCATTTGAAAGTTGGGAATGGTTTTGTTGGAGTTCCAAATCAGGAACCAATTATATTTTTTTACAAGTATATTTTTGAGTTCTTGGGTTTGGGAGGAACAGAGGCTCTCTTAAGTCAGTGTGTGTGTGTGTGTGTGTGTGTGTGTGTGTGTGTTGGGAGTTGTTATGGGGATACGTGTGGTCTGAAGCACACCTGGAGATAAGAAGATCTGAGCAGCTAGGGACCTGCCAGTATCTTGGTCTCTTTTTCCACGGTCTTCTTGGCACTCTTATTTCATATTTGCTGCTCTCTTATTCCCTTATTACCAATTGGTCAGTCTCCTCTGATTCTCTAGCCCAAATTAAATTAGAGCCAGTTTTATTGCCCTTGCTAATTAGCACTAACTCCATTGTTAGGACCTCCTGTTAAGACACCTAATGTATCACTAGGAAGTCTTTGGATGGACCACCCTATCACAGTTTCCCACTTCCATCCTTTTTTTTTTTTTTTTTTTTTTTTTTTTGTGGCTCCTGTGCACAAATAAACAGCCATATTGCTGCCCTGAACGTGATGGTATTATCCAAGACATGAAGACTGGATGTTGAATTGAATAACTTCTTAAGTTTTTGTTACATTTCTTTTGCTATATTTATTTTATGTTAAAGTTAATTCACATTTTCATCGAAAGAATTTTTAATATGAAAAACTTAAAAAAGAAAAGGAAAATTACAGTCCATCACCCACATATAAGCTATGACTATCTTGCTGATTATATTCCAGTCTGTGTGTTTAGTTTCATATAGTTGATTAATGTGTGACCTTATATTTTTTGTTTAACATTAGAATAGTTTTTGCTCATGCACATAAATATTCTTTCAAATTGATTGTAATTCATCACAATATATCATAGTATAAATATACTGCATATACTTAACTAATGTTCAACACTTAGATGGTTTCATCATTGCTTGTTAAAGTTTATCATCACCTCAGATAATTTTATTAAGACAGATTCTAGAAGTTTTCTTACAGAGTCAAAAAGAATAAGATTTTTAAAGCTTTTAATATGTAGTCTCAAATTGTTTTTCTGAAAGGTTGCTACAGTTTTTGCTTTCACCAGCTGTGTATAAGAAAGTCTGTCTTGTTATACTTTCATACCATTGGATGACAGCGTTTAAAAATGAGTCTCATATTTAAAAAAAAAAAGGGCTTTCTTTGTTTTATTTATCTCTGGTTACTTATCCTAGTGATTATTCTGCTGTTGTTGCTGAAGGGAAGTAGTTGAAACCTTAGCAGAACCACTTGCCTTTCGGTTTTGACCATGTGAGATGCTAATCCAATGACCACTGTGTCTCCTCTAGCCTTCGTACACAGAATTCGACATCAGTGGCAACGTCCTCGCTCTGATCTTCAACCAAGGCATGATCTGGTAGGCCAGCTGTTGGATAGCTTATCACTTACAGAAAAGCCTCCAAGGTTATTTTTGCATAAAGCACTGAATCCTGGTGTTAGAGGAGAACACAATCGATGTCTAAGTCAATATTTACTTTTGTGAAGTGGATGCCTGTAAACAGTTTCTGTTTTTTCCATATCTTAAATGTCAGTCATCAAAGATGTCGCTCTGTTTTGCAGGGCACTCCTTCATCAAATAATGGGAATCTATGTTTTGGTTGGTAGATTTATTCGAAGACTGTATTTTTATATTTTGTGACACCAGGATCTAGTATTGAAACAATAATTACATTACCACATGTTAAGTATGAAATAAATTAACCTAAGTCCTTTCTGGGAGACTGAGTTTATTTTGTTGTCACTACTAAATATATTCAAAATGTAACTTATAGCTAATTTTAAAAATAATGTTTTATCAAATCCAGTAGTTTATCGAGATGAAACACGTGTTTTACGAAGGTCAAGTTAAAATATTATCTTCATTTTGTAACTTGTTTCATAGGGCCATTGGCACATCAGAATAATTTTTTTTCATGTATGAAGGGTTGTCATATCTTTTGTCAAATAAAAGCATTCTCACCATAAACTTGACAGGTTAAGATGAGTCGATACCGTAGAAATCGTTTTTGAGTTTAAAAATTGAATCCTGACATCTGATTCATCTGGGGACCATGTGTCTTGGAAATCTGTCACTTCAGATTTCCAGCCTACAAGCAATTACTATCAGGCTACTTTATCCTGAGGACATGTGGCTAAAACAATATTATGCTATCAACCACACCATTGTGCTATTCACAAGTGCCAGTATAGTCTCAGTTTTTGAACAAGCTTCATATATTGCACAAATGTAGCTGGCCTGAATTATTAAAACTTTGGGTGCTGGCAGACACTGCACCCCTCTGCAAATGCGAAAACTGTCTTGTTTCAGTCACACAAAGACCACCCTCAAGGGCTCTGTCACCCTCTTATGGGGACTGTCACATTCCTGTGCCTGACTAGGCGAATCAATATGGAAAAGACACTATAAAAATACTATTTCCTCCTTTGTCAGGTAGTTTTAAAAAATCTGATTTTTATACCTTTCCTTTCTAAATTTTCCAAGTATGACTCACATGTCCAGAGTCACTAAGGAAGGAAATGCATCTTTCATTTTCCAAGCAGTGGAAAATGTCGAAGTCAAGGTGGCCCAAGGAATGTCTACTGACACAGAAGTGAAGGGAGCAGCTTCTGTGGGTTCTGAGCTTTGATTTCCTAGAGTTCAGTTTGCTGTCATGGCAGAAAATGGCTAACACAGCTATGGGAGTAATGAGAAACCACTGTTCTATCAGTGGCTTTTATATAAAGTGTCATAAATCCCTCCGGCCTTGTGGGTACCATTCATGTAGACATCTGCTGCACATCGATTGTGTTCTTTCAGAGTTAAGACAACAGATTGGCCTAGAAATACGTTCTTATTGTCAGAAAAGCTGTTATAATGGATGTCCTGATTGGTTTCACTTGTGATTTTGCAACGATTTTAGTCCACTATTGTTCATATTGAAATTCTTAAATACCTAAAATGCTTTTCCAGTTCTCTCATGGGTAGATCTATTATCAAAATCTCTGCACTGTCATTTTCTATTTATTTATTCTTCAGACAGTGGTCAAGCTTGCTTCTGACTAGTTTGAAGAGAGTATTAGAACAGAATTGTGTTTTTTGAGTATACAGAGATATTCACACTCTTTTCGAAGTTCCAGAAGCAAACTGACTATTATGCTATTATTTACCTTCAGGTCAATACTTGGCACAAATACTCGTTTCCTAAACCTAGGAGGCTGATGAGGGAGGGGCACGTCATGTGAAGGGACGTGTGGAGCAAGTATAATGTAAAATTAGTAGGTTCACTCTGCACAAAGGTACTCACACACAACCGTTTCATTATTTTATGAGGCATGAGGATCTAATGCTTGACTTGAATCATTTTCTACAGAAACAATGAAAATGGCGTGGGGATTTTTTAATTCAGTTCCATTGGCTTGTGAATGGAGGCACTGAATTACTGCTTTTGGAGATGCTGAGTAGTGGAGGTTATTTTTGCAGATGTTAACATCAACATTTATAGATAAAATCCATTTTGTTATGATTTGGCTGAATGATCAGTAACCTTCATTTATGCACTTATTTTTTGAAATACAAATGATGGTTTCTGTGCTAATATTTTTAAGTGATGAAAGCACATAATATCTTTATCGTAACAGGATATAGAGAAATGGCAGAGAACACAGAGTGAGAGAGAAAGTGAGTTTGGATGTTGCTCCAGCACCACTTCATTGGATACCCTCAGGCCAGGTTTATCACCTTCCCCCCCCCCCCCACTTTCTCAGTTGATCAGATGTGAATAATTTACCTGACATGTGCATGTCACTGAAGTAATAAGGAGAGTTAAATAAAAGAAGCTTTCATTTTCTTTGATCTTCCTGGAAGAAAAGCATTTTATAAGGCTAAGGTATTACAATTATTTTTACTGACAGATGACGGGATCAAGTCTGGGTAAGGGACTTAGTGAGCCGAGGTGATAAGTGATTTATGAGCATAGATAGGATGAGCATTAACATTCAGATATTATGCCAGGAATTGTTTTTCTAGGTTATGGCTCTTGAGTTATTTGTTCAAAATGCCTTTGTGATATTTATTTTGAAACTTTAAAATTTATAGATTCATGCACAAATAATAAGAATATACATACAAACAATATGCACATATATAGATATAAATATATGTGGTTTTAGGCAAGTCTCAATTTTGAATTATGTGCAAATTACATTTCAGAATCAATTAAGTTATGCAGCAATGAAACAATCTCAAAATCTTAGCAGCTCATAAAAAGAACATGTTCAATGTGGGGTGGAAGAAGAGCTTTGCTCTTATAACTTATCTTCACTTTGGAGACACAGACAGATGGAATAGGATCCATCTGAAACATCGCTATCACAGTAGCAGAGAGAAGAGAAGGAAAAACCACACAGGGCTTTTAAACTTTCTACCCAGCAGTAAGACACTTACTTTCTATTCATACTTTATTGGCCAAAACAAGTGATGTTGCCACCTGATTTTTAGAAAGACTCAAAGTGTATTACATCAACAAGTACTGGTATTGTGGGATATAATCTAGTGCTTTGCAATTCTAACCCATTAGCTGGGACTATCACTTGCTTACTTGCTCACTTTTTTGGAGTTCCCTCTCTCTTGCTGTCCTGTAACAAAAATTCATTGTTTTAAAATCTATCTTCCCATTAGAAAAAAAAAAAAAGTTTAACTTCCTATAAAATCTTTGTTCAATTCATTAGGGTAAAATATCATTCAGATTTATTGTCTGAAATCATGTCAAGTAGAAGCCAAATTGTGACAAGATTCCACTTTTTTAAGAAATGAGTTAACTTTGGGTTGGCAAAAGTTCAATTATAGTGAAAAATAATTCTTTAATCTAAATTTAAAATGTCTCTGTAATGTACCAAATTTACATTGGATTGGCTAAACGACTATTCTACATATCCAGGAAGTACAAAATGTTAAACCTAGCGAGAAATGTTGAGGGTTTCACTGTAGATAGGACAGTTTAAAAGACAGGGCTCCCTTTATATTTTTAAAATAAGTGCACATCTATCTTCTTTTTGATTTTGAAATAGTAAATTGCTATTTGTATTGATTTATGATGCTAATGAATTTTCTCACCCAAGAAGAGTGAAACTTATTTTATTGAAATAATAACTAAGCCATCAAGTAAAAGTGACCTTACTTAAGTGGTTCCCACCTAAAAGCAGTATTTTCAAATATTTATCAAAACTCCAATGCACAAAGCAGAGAATTCGCAGGACAAGCTGAAGTAAGAAAGTAAACAGATAAACTAAATTTAAATAATTATGTCAATTTTTTTTCTCAAAAACCTATAAGCTACTAATAAATTTTCAACAAAACACTATGTTATCAGGCATAAATACATCTTTGCAATTGGCTTTAAAACACCGTACCACCTACAAAGAGAAACTGATCAACATCAGAAAAATAATTATTTTTTCTTCCATTAAGCAAAAACTTTTATTTTCAGTTGTGCAGTCATGGTCCACTGCAGCCTTCACCGCCTGTCGTTATGTAAAAACTAATTATTCATGACAAAAGTGATTAATTCAAACATACAGTTTATTGGAATAGGAGTGACTTTAAGGGTTATTTTTAACAAGTTATATTTATAGATATATTAGTCCATGATATGAGTGTTAGGAACAGTTAATTTTAGAATTAGAAGAAAGAAGTAAAAGAATTATAAATATTGTTTATTCTGTTGTAGTTTAAATTCACTAATGGTAGTAGGTAGAGTTAGTTAACAGCATCCTATCTATGAAAGAATTATGATATTCAGTTCCTACAATAATGTGGAAAATGGCAAAATGTGTTTAGAAGATGGAAATAGATAAATGCCGTTTATGAAAAGGGTTTGTGTGGTTGAAAGTGGTAGTCAAGGTGCAGTGTGACTTTGTTATGGAGTAGACTCAAAATTGATCAGAGTTCTGTTTTCTTTCTAGGATGGGCTCCTTCTTTGCTCCCAGCCTCCCAGGCATCAATATCCTTCGACTCCACACATCCATGTACTTCCAGTGCTGGGCCGTGATGTGCTGCAATGTTCCTGAGGCCAGGGTCTTCAAAGCTTCCAGATCGAATAACTTCTACCTGGGCATGCTACTGCTTATCCTCTTCCTGTCTACCATGCCTGTCTTGTATATGATCGTGTCCCTCCCACCATCTTTTGATTGTGGTCCCTTCAGGTCTCTTGTTTTTGAAATTTGACTTGGTCATGGTGTTCTTTCACAGTGGAGATGGGAATGGCCATTCATTGTATAAGCTATTTTTATTCCCCAAACAGTGGCATTTTTGGTTGGTAGAAGTGAGACCCTTTGGGTATTCAGTTTCATTAGGTGATATGGAGATTCTTAGGCAAGTTCTATCTATTTCCTCATTTGGGAATCATAAAAGAGAAAATATTTTAACCTTTTTCAGGCTTTGCCTGGGTAAACTATGTATGATGAATCTGAGGTGTTTCCATGTTAGGGGATAGCGAAGAGCAAGGTCTGATGACCCAAGTCTGGATATGAGTTTGCCTGACTCAGGGATGTCACATCCAGACAATCAGCTATCACTACTTCTTATGTGTATCACTAGAGAGAGAGAGAGAGAATACCCCACACTTTACCTAGGAAATGGAATCATTATTAAATACTAATGAGCATAAAGAGGGCTACCCAATTTGTTATCCAAAATGCCACATGCTAGTGAAAAAAATTAAGGCTGTTCCACATATATATTCTCTCCTAATTATCACTCAAGTGAAGAATCAAGAGTCACAAAGGCTCCTTGATCCAGTGTAGAGATGTACATTTCCACAGTTCTCTATGGCAGTGTTCTCTTCTCTCTATGACACATGTCAAAACTAAGTCCATGGGATCCGGAGGATGAGGTTTCTTTCCTTAAAGGGCCTTAGAAATGATTCTACCACAAGGAATCTCTGCATGTTGAGTCACTTGCCAGCAAGGACTTGAGCTATTTCTCCTTTTCAGTGAAGGAAATGAGACTGTAAAAAGCCATGTGGGCCAGGCGCGGTGGCTCATGCCTGGAGGGCCAAGGCAGGCGGATCACTAAGTCAAGAGATCGAGACCATCCTGACAAACATGATGAAAACCCGTCACTACTAAAAATACAAAAATTAGCTGGGGGTGGTGGTGTGCACCTGTAATCCTAGCTACTCGGGAGGCTGAGGCAGGAGAATCACTTGAACTCGGGAGGCGGAAGTTGCGGTGAGCCAAGATCGTGTCACTGCACTCCACCAGCCTGGTGACAGTGAATCTGCTTCAAAAAAACCCAGCCATGTGAATTATATGCATGATGCTGTAATGCCTACATATAATTCCCCCTTTATGTTTCAGAACCAAGTTATTTGATTAAAGTCAAAAGATTCATTGCTAACAGACTACGTATATGACAGACGTTTTCACTCTAACAGTACAGTAGTCTTGAGTTATTGCTTTGCCAGAAAACAGAGAAAATATTAAGCCAGCTGATTGAGCTAAACTAACTAAAGCTCTGTCTGCTCAGAAAACTGATGCTGACAAGCTCTGTTAATTCCTCTGTGTGTGTGTATGTGTGTGTGTGTGTGTGTGTGTGTGTGTGTGTGTGTGTTTCCAAGTGGGCTGAAATAAATAATGCAGACAGTGACATCTGGAGACTAAATATGAAATTACAGTCTTGATGGAGACATCGTCTCAATAAATCCCGAACCAATCTCAGAGTACAAATTTCAAGAAATATGCCATTCAAAGGCTTTAGTTAATAGCAAATTTTTCACACAACTTATTATCCAGGATAAGTTGAGGTGTGTATTAAGATATTAATTGGAAGTTGATCCTTCTCAGTAAAACATAGCAAAGGACCTTAGCTGTCTGTTAGGGCAACCACACGATGTAAACATGGATCTGGGTGGTGGTCACACAGATGCATTCAGATTTACAATACCATTGAGTTAGACATGAATGATAATTGTGCAATTTCATCTTGTTAAGCCCTAACTCTTCTGGCTTTTCTTATGTCACACACTGATTTACTCTGATTTTTACTGAAAAAAAAAATTGTTTGTGTTAAGCCATAGTATCTGACTTTGACCAAGAGTTTTCTAATTGGCAAACTTAGGAAAAATTACTGCACATAAATCATTATTGTGAAATCAGGGAAATTTATTTTTTTATTTTTTAAATTAGTTATTTATTTTTTAATTTCCATAGGTTATTGGGGAATGGTAGTGTTTGGTTACTTGAGTCAGTTCTGTAGGGTTATTGGTGAGAAATCAGGGAAATTTAAATATTTTCAGTGGAGTACTCGGAAGGGATATCTCTATGCTATTTAGATTTTTTTTTTTTCCTATCAGTCTCCTCATTTTGGAGCCAAAGGATGTTTACATTGTTTATTAGTCTGGACTTAAAAGTTTGAAAGGATTGTTTTGCTCTAGAAATGAAGTGAGAATGCTTGCATTAGTAGGTACCTCATGGTTTGTCATCTTTATGAACCCTGAGTTTTAGGTGATTTGCTTAACCTTCCTGGTGAAGGTTATCAGACTCTATCTGGCTCCTGGGCAAGCAGCAATTTAGAAAGAATGAATTTGAGCTAGGTTACTGTAGGTATGACAGTGATGGCTAGTTGCTCTCCAGTGCAGGAAAGTTTTCAGGTAAGATGGCTATAGTACATTTATCCATTCAATGAAGCAATTTAATGAGATATTCCAGCTTGTCTGGTTTTGTAAGACCTGGCTAGAGAGGGTAAATTTTCCAAGAAATTATTCTAATAGGGTGGCAAGTGGGGTTATCTTAAACAGTTGATAATTTAAAAAGTATTTATTTGGTGTGCAGATGAAGACAATTCTAATCGTTCTATCTCATTTCCTGACAGTGATGTTTCCTTCCATCTATGTCAATAATTCTGGACAATTTGTGGTTCTCTAGGTTTTTATACACATCCATGTTTACATTATGACAATTTTATTTTTCATGTATATTCATCTTACTGCAAATATAATATGTGCTTATGCTAGAAAACCTAAAAATTATAGAAACATTTTTACATGAAAAGAAACACTGCCTATAATCTCGGGAACCTGAAATAACAATGTTTTAGCATTTTATGTTCCGGTTTGCCTTTTAAGCATAATTTTTTATAACTGAGATTGTATGGATGCAGGATGTTTCTCAGCTCCGTTGCTGGACTCACAGAGGGGCACCCTGTCTACTCGGCCTGCTGTGGTTAACCCCTTATGGGAGGAAGTATGTGAGCAAGTGAGTGCAGGATCTGGCTAGACATGCCCTGCACTGACACAAGAGCAAGCTCCGTGTGGGGCCTGTGGCCAGGCCAGGTGTGTCACCTTGAGGGGAATGCAGTGGTGCCCAAGTGAGGATGCCCATGACTCTGAAGCCCCAGAGGGGGTGTTAGAGTGTTTCCTCAGCTCCACCATCCTCAGCCCAATGGATGGCAGTGTGTTAGCAGCTCTGCTGGCCCCTTGCCTCATTTCGTGGGGCAGCTGCCCTCTGCCAGAGAGGGCAAAGGGCCAGTTCGACAGCTTTTCCTGAGTACCCACATTTGGTGGGCCCCGAGCTCTTGTCCAGCATCCAAGAAGAATGAGGTCATACAGATTATTGAAGGATGGTGAAGGTGGAGAATTTTATTGAATAATGAAATTGGCTCTCAGCGGAGAGGGGAGTTGGAGAGGGGCCAGGAGGGGCAGGTCATCTTCCCCGAAGTCAGGTTGTCTCTTCCCCAAAGTCAGGCTGTCTCTCCCCTCTACCAGCTGAGTCTGTAGTCTTTACAGGCACAGGGTGGAGAATGTGTGCTGATTGGTTTGTGAGTATGCAAAAATGGTTGCAATGAAGATATCACTCAAAGTTGACACAACAGTACATTACATATACCTACCCTATCCTAATTGGTTTTCCCCTATATAGGGGATCAATCAAAGGAAAGTGTCCCAAACAGGAAGTCAAGTTCTCAAACCAGTCTGAGGAGTTAACTTGTAGCTTGGCTTTCAGGCTTTAAACTGTCTTTGGCTTGGAGGTGGCGTTTGACCAAGTACCTGCCCCTATCTGCCTAGGCATTTGGCTTCCTCCTGTTCCTATCAGTATACTAGGTGCAGGTTTTTAGTTTTAAAAGTTAACATTATATTGTGACACTGCTATTATATTGCTCTTTTGCAATCATGCTTTATGCATCTCTTTTTCTTAATAGTTTTGCTGACTTCTAGAGATTGGGGATAGAGCATTTTCATCTTGTGGGTCTAGGACACAGTAAAGTGCTGATCAATAGTTTGAATTAATGAATGAATAATGTCTGCATATTGTGCACTAAGCACTAGAGGAAACAAAGGGTTAAGTGCATGCATTAAGCATTGATTCTGGTCCTGTGGAGCTTATCACCCAGCTGGGAAGACAGGCCTCCTCATAAGCTGTTCTAATCTAGAGTGGCACTATGCCTACAGCAGGACTATGGGTAGGCACAGACAACTGGAAAAGAATTCTGAGTATATTGTGTAATAACACACTTTGGCTAACCTGGCAGGAGAAGGCATTGCCAAGGATTTGTAGATGCTTCTATAGTTTGTATGTAATTAAGATATCTGGACTCCTTTGTTTGGTAACAGGCCTGACATGAAAAAGGTATACAAGAATCCCCAGGGACTCAGCAGCTTTGCTTTGGGTCACGGTGGATGCTGAGAAGGCTTTTGTGGGTAGAGATAATTCGATAAAATTTGAATCCCCCCATTCTAACCACATTCATCAGTTAAGACCTGAGGTACTGGAGAAGGGAGGATAGAGGGTCTTATCTTTTTTGGTACTTTTAATTTATCTGCTTATCCTGTATTCCATCTGGCTAAGGTTGTGTTGGGGGATATGAACAATTAGAATGGAATGGTGAAAAATAAAACTTATTGAAATAGGGTGTTATAATCTTACATTGCTTGTAAGCTTCATTCCCTCTTACGTATCATAGATCTTGAAAATTAGGATGTAGAGCCTTAATTTGTGAAGCAAAACTTTTACCTCTTTAGTCCAATGACTACTGACAAAATACTTGGAGTCACTCTGTCTGTTTGAAGATAGTATTGGTTAGATCTGTAGAAAAAAATAGTAATCTGGGACTGACTTGTATGTCTAACAATGACACACATTGGTAGTTGAAAATGCTTAAAGATTAAAATACAAAAGCAAAACTATACATTATATTAAATATTGCACCAACATTTATTCTGAGGATGAGTACAATTTAGTGAAACCCAATCCAAATCTCTTCTGAAAATTTATCTTTTCATAGTAAAATAAATATGCATATACAGAAAAAATAATGGTATAATGAATATTATGAATATTGTGGTACAATTCTAGCTATTCTATTGTAAGTCAAGACATCCTGTCCCATCTTTCTAGTTTATAGGTACTGGCTGATACTGGCCTTCATGGCTTTTAGCAGTGGAGCTAAGCCAGTATTCATCCAGGCCTGTGCAGGAGAAGAAACTGGGAGGGAAGGAACCCATTATTTGGTGTGGTTACCTTACCTATTAACATATCTGCTGAAGGAAGTCTGGTGGAAAATGAGATGGAAGCTATTGCGTGGAAAGATATTGGATTATATGTAGATTTTATTCCACTGGGCTATTCCTTGCTCTCATTTCTAAGGCTAATTAAAAATTGAGTGCACTGTTTACTTAGCTCAAAGAGAGTGTTTTCCTTCAAGAACAGCTGACTGAGAGGCAGACTTATGAGCTATTTACAAAACATATTTCAAGAAAAATCTTAGAAATACCGTTTTTAAAAAATCTCCTCCTAAATATGTGGTTAATTTCATAACTGCTTTGAGTATATGTTTATATTGGGATCATATTTCTCATATCTTACCCGTCTATTGACTACATGAGGTCAACGTGTCAGCAGTCGTAACTGAACATCAGATTCCTAACCTGCAAGAGGACCTAAGCAGTAATGGGGAAAGAGTTACAGTTTTCCTCCTGTAACCATGGTTTTTCCATATGTTCTTAATAAACTTCTCTCCCCTTTTTCAATTCCCCCAGTGGCAAAAATAGAATGTTTGAAGTCATTGGAGAGACCCTGGAGCATGATTTCCCAAGCTGGATGGCAAAGATCTTGAGACAGCTTTCGAACCCTGGACTGGTCATTGCTGTCGTTTTGGTGATGGCGTATGTGCTTTCCCTCCTCATAGAAGGAGGCTTTGTGATGTTCTTCCTGGGTGCTTTTACTTTTCAGCTTTTTAAGCGCGCTCACTCTCCCTAAGGGTTGTGCTGTAACTTACCCAAATTCAACACTGATTACATGGTGGTGAGAGGCTAAAATTCATGAGCCATATTCTGATCCTATTGGATGTGATTCACAGCCATCTGCATCTGTCTTTGCTTCCCCAGGATTATAAGATTTGTTCCCAAGTAACCAAAATAATTATCTGTAAACAGCTAAAGCAAGGGAAATATAAATGCTAAATGCTTAATCTAATCAGGACATTGAGCTTTCCCCCAACAACCTCTTGTTCCGTAAAGCAGATGGCTGTGAATATACAGAAATAATGAGCCTCTAAGTTAATATTCCCCTTGGGGGCCCTAAAGTCCATATTTTAGGGTCAAGGGCTTAAAGGATCTTAAAAATTGCCCTGTCCTTGTTATTAGAGGGCTGTCAATAACTGTGTGTTCACGATAACAGAATCAAGGACCAGAGGGTCTTGGGAAGTTCCTATAGTCTGTCCCTTGAAACTCAGAAGTGATTTCCAAAGGGGAACTTGGCAGATAACTTTTGTTTTCATATAATGTTCATTGGCTTCTGACTCTTGGCCACCACAGATAAACTTAGATTCTAAGTAAAAGCATAGACTTGCTGTGGAATAGCCAAACGCAGTGTCTGGCTCTTCCTTTCAGTCTATGTAGGAGTGAAAACATCTGGAACTGCTGTGACTCTCGGTCATTGGGTAAATATTAAACAACACCAAGGACACTTTAGGAGCAAAGTTGATGCAAAGGATTGGGTTCATTTAAATAAAGGTAAGGCGAGGAAATCTCGGAGAGAACTCACAGTGGTTTGCAGTACATGAGCTGGGATTTTGACCCAGTTACTGTCATGATCACAAGCCACATAAAGTAGTGAGGGCAGGCTTATCTTCTTCAATTTTATTACCTAAGAAATTGACTTACAGAAAGAAGGTGATTTTCCCTAGACGAGAGAGAGTAAAATGGTCATAGTGGGACCTAAAGCAAATCCTTTGACAGTAAATCCAGTGCTCACTTCTTTTTACCACTATTCTTTCTGTGAGGGAGAGCTAATAACCTGAAGGGATAATTAAACAGTAAATCAGATTACCATTATATATTATATGACCTTGATAATGGGGTGCTATTAAGAATCTGATAGTAAATCTCTGGCACAGATGCATTAGAAAATGACCACTGAATGCAGCATGTTTCACCAGATGGCCTTTGAAACGATTTTCTTTCTCTATATTTCCATGATACAGTGGCTTCTGAGAGCATGTTAATCAGTATCCTGTAGACTTTAAGAGTCAAGGCCCTGTAGTGCTATAAATGAGGTGTTTAAAACACACGCACTCACACACACACGCACACACACACACACACACACACACAATCGCAATGTAAATGTCAGATTTTGTTACTATATTCTTAATTTATTAGGAGATATCTTTGTTTTTAAGTAAAGGAGTGGCATTGTTCAAATGCCTTAATCCAAAGATTTTATAATTGGTCCTAAGAGTGTTTAAAAGGAACACTGCCTTGTTTCAGGCACTATTTTTACACTGACTTTTTAAATTCCCGTAACAGCCTTGAGGAGTTGGCTTCATTAATCATACTATCAATAACACATTGAAGTTAGGTCCCAATCAAGTGACTACTAAGCAGAATTTAAACTCAGATCTTCTTCCTCACACTTACTTCCCACACTCACTTGCAGCACCAAACAGGAATCAGAATCAGTGGGAATTTCAGATGGGCTGAAAGCCATTTGTTAGAGATGGTATAGACCCAGCCTCAGCACACTTTTTCTAATTAAAGGACCAGATAGCAGACATTTTAGGCCAAGAGGCAAAATTGAGAATCTAATTAAGTAATTATTAATATAACCATCTAAAGACAGAAAAATGATTCTTAGTTCATGGGCCATTCAAAACAGTCTGGCAGTCCTTTTCAGCCTGCAGGACCTTGTGTGCTTTGATCTGGACAGCCTGGTGAAAAGCTGGCAGCATACAAGTGTCAAATAGATGTGCTCAAAGGTTAATTGTAGCTCTGAGGTTCTGCTTTAAAACTCAAATTTTAGTTTATTACTTATTTTTTCAAATTCTGAAATCTCATCTTCTACTTTATGGGGCCCAAACAATTGCTTTAGCTTTTTATTACCTTTATTTAGAGAATTATACTAGTATTTTGAATTTCCCCAAGTGGATTATATTAAATTAACCTGGATGGTTTTTGGGTATCTAAGGAGACTTCAGGTTAGTTCTCTGCAGGCAGTTTCATTCCTTTGGAGACTAGGAAAAGATTTGTGAGGAATACTTATTTTATGTGCATTATAAGACAGAAAAACATGGTGGATAAATAGAGAATTCCAGAACTTAAAATGACTTGTGAAATCTTTGAGTTCATCCTCCAAAACCAGGAACTTTTCTGAGAAAATCCTTATAATACACCACACACACACATTTATCGAGCACCTATTTCATGCCAGATATTGTCCTGCATGCTTTTATGTATGTAATTTTAGCTAAATTCCTATCACTCACGTAAGAGATAAACAAACTGAGCCAAACCATATCAATCATTATGTTGCTAGAACCAGATGGCTCATAAAGAATATTGTCTTGCATTTTGGGCAGTAGAGGAAATGTGTTCAATATCCAGTTATTTGCAGCAAAGAGTAATGTAAGTTACCTTTTCTACTGCATTTTTTCTTTGTTTGTTTGTTCGTTTTGCGTTAAGCGAAGATAAGCATATTTATTTTTACAGAATTGTCTGGCTAGAATTTGCCCTTTCTAGAATGTAAATGTCATTTAAAATCCAAGAATATTCCTTTATACAACATTTTCTTTTTGAGGGAGAAGGAAATGCAAACAATACATTCTACGGAAAAAATTCCATGTTCGTTATCTATGCCTATGAGGATTATATTCTTAGCTGCAAAGGCCAAAGGACAAAATTTAAGGCAGAAAGTCGTTTTCCTTTTTGTTCGACATATTCCCTAAACTGAAGTAGGTATTCAGTTCTCTGGGATGCCATTGCCAACCATTTAAAATGCTACTTTCAATTATAATTTAAACTGATGTTAATACATTTCCAGGAAAAAGCTAATATTAGGCAGTGTGAAATAGCAGACAGAGCAGGCTGTGGATCAGGAGCCTTGGACCCCAGCTTTCCAACTTCACCCCAGCTTCATCCCTCTGTCATCCTGAATGTCTCTTTACCTCTGGACCTCAGCTTTTATCTCACAAGAGATTTACAGTACAAAATAGCTTAATGTTCATTCCCATGCTGAGATTTCATAACTTAGTTAATGTAAATTTAAGATGTATTCCGGGGAACTAAAAAATATCCTAAATCATATACTTCTTTCTTTTTAATTTAGTTTGACCATCTATTATCTCAATGCTACTGCCAAGGGCCAGAAAGCAGCGAATCTGGATCTAAAAAAGAAGATGAAAATGGTAAGATACAATTTATTTCATAGTAATGTTATCTTTATTAATGTAAGTAGTAGAAAACACTGGGAAATCTAATTTTTTTCTCTCATTTTTTATTGTGTAGCAAGCTTTGGAGAACAAAATGCGAAACAAGAAAATGGCAGCTGCGCGAGCAGGTTGGAGATAGGTTTATGTTTGCACTTCTTCTTTTCTTTTCTTTTTTTTTTTTTGCTTTTTCTCCATTGGATGGCAAGTGGCATTATTGCCGTCAGCAAGTCATTCCACAGTCCTTCCCCTCCACCTTTTCAGCCCTTCTCAGGCATCACATCTGGGGGATTTAGTTGTTTTCTAATTGGAGGAAAAAAAAGAGAAATGAAAATGTTGGCATGTAAACTTGGCAGTAGTGATTTTTGAAAGTGACCTTGAAAATGCACAGAAAAGGAAGAAGTCCCCCATGTAGTCATGCACAAACAGCAGATACAAATGCAGATGCTCTCCTGCCCATACTGACTATTTTCATACAAGGAAGGATATGCTGAGAAGATCCCAAGAGGGTTCACTGATTGCCAGAAGCCCTTTCTAATTTATTAAACTTTATTTTTTCTTTCTTTTTTTTTTTTTTAAAAAAAAACCTCTTTAATTTTAAAAATCTTAGAATAAAGCCAACTTCTAGGTGCCAAAATTAATACTATGCTTTGAGTTCCCCATGGAAAGGTGATACCTATGAACGTTAGTAAAAATCTTTTCCAACTTTTACCTCACTCCTAACTTTAAAACTCTTTATATTAGTGGGACTGTTTCCCCACTGTAAGTAATAAAACCCTCAAATTAGTTTAATTAAGAGAGAGTAATTTCTTTGACCACACAAATGCAGGGAAATGGTATGTATGGCTTCAGGCCACTTTTTTTTTTTCTTTTTTTTTTTTTTTTTGAGTTATAATCTGGCTCTGTGGCCCAGGCTAGAGGGCAGTGGTATGATCTCAGCTCAGTGCAGCTTCAACTTCCCAGGCTGAAGTGATCCTTCCCTCTCAGCCTCCTGAGTAGTGGGGACCACAGGTGCACACCACCATGCCCAGCTAATTTTTAATCTTTTTGTACAGATGAGGTCTTGCTATGTTGCCCAGGATGCTCTTGAACTCCTGGGCTCAAGTGATCTTCTCCTTTTGGCTTCCCAGAGTGTTGGGATTACAGGCATGAACCACTGTGCCCAGACTTCATGGTGGTTTTTATTCTTAGAAGAGGGTCAGTTCTGAGCCCGCCTCTCTGGGAATCTCTGAAGCTAACCTCCTTTTACGTTGGCTGACCTTTATGGCAGCAGAAATGGATGCAGCAACTTCCAATGCTACGTCCTCAGACTGTAAAACTTCTTTCCTAGAAATTCCTCAATCTCTCCTTCTTTCAGATTGGCCCCAAATGGGTCATGTGTCCATTCCTGTGCCAGTCACTGTAACTTACCATACTTGTCTGAGTCAGGACCCAACCTTGGAGCTGGGATTGGTCAGTTTTCCTGACAAATGAAATGCACTGGGGAGGGCACACCTACCTAAGAGAAGAGGACAAAGATGCCGGGTGGCCCCAAACAACATGTTCAAGACTTGCTTTTTTTTGCCATCTTCATGCCTAGCCTTTTTTCTTTTTCCTCTCTCTTTTCTATCTAGCATGCAGAAAGGTAAAGCTGAATGCTGGGTGCTGAATTAAATGATTACAGTGATGTACAGTTATCAGACTTTTTAAATAAAATGTTTAATTTTTCAAATCAATGCTCCATGTATGCATAATTTATAGTTTTTTATTTAGAGTTTCATAATTCTATAAAGTTTATCATGAAAAACACCATCTTCTTCTGCCTCCTACATTAATTTTGCTCTCTTCCCCTCCCATATACTCAACTACCCCAAGACACTTTCAATTTTTAAACTGATTTTTAGATATTCATCTCCAAATTGCCTAATTTTGTTATAATTTCTTGACTTTGAAGTGTTATCTATTAAAATTATTATCTCCATTGTAGGTAATAATGGAGATAATAACTACAATGGAGATAATAAATTTTAATAGGTAATACTTAAAACATTTTTAGACTCTTGCCCCAGTCTCTTTATGCATTCTACTATGTAGTTATATTATTATTTTGGTTAGGCCAATATACGTTATTATGGACACATAATGTCTTCACAGCTGGGCTAAGTAGTAAACTATGATACTTGTGCATACTTTTAAATTTTCTGAGGATTCATCATTTCTCTTTTTAAACATTTTCTTTTTATATATATGTATTTTTCAGTGATTCGTTTAATTTCCAAATCAGTGTTACTGATTGAATTATACTCTCAATATATTCAGACATACTGGGTTATCTATCTATTTCATTTCCTTGGAGAAATCTTTCCCAGAATCTTCTGAACTTCTCCAATTTCACCTGATGTGTGGGCTACGGCTGTCATCCTTTGATTTTTCTTCACTGTCATTCAGCAAGATCTCTATCACTCTATCCTGTTTTGGATACCGCGTTTTCCATTTTCTCCAACTTACCCTATGTTGGTTTGTCACGTTTTGTGGGTAAGAAAGGGTGTGTGAGAGGCAAGTTTTCTGAGAGCATGTCTGAAATTGTCCTTCTCTTACTCTCCCTTTTGACTGATAGTTTGAGTGTCAAAAATACCATCTAATTATATTAGAAATAATACCCCTTCAGAATAATATTTTCTCAGAGGTTTCCCATTGCCTTCTGTATTCCGCTATTGCTCTTGAGAAGTTTAAAGCCATTGTGATTCTAGTCTTTTTTGAGCAACTTGTGTTTTTGATTATCTGGTTTTGCAATCTGGAAAGCTATAGGGTCTCTTTATCTGCATGTTCTGAATTTCATGATGATGTATCTTGCATGGATCTATTTTTATTCCTTGTGTACTCATCAGTACGTTCTTCTGCTATTTGGTTGCAGGGAATTTTTATGAATTCTTTCCATTCATTTTCTGTTGTTTTTTTTTCCCTTTGCATGTAGAGTTCCTACTATTTATTTTTCATCCTTACATTCCCCTTGTCTCTTTGCTTTACCCATGAATATTTCCTTATCTTTAAATTTTAACATTTCTCTTTGCCTCTTCACTTTTGCAATCATAATTTTAGTTTCTGCAGGCTGTTTTGTTCTTTAATTCTTCTTTCTTAAACAGCATGCTGTCCTTGTTCAATGGCTGCCATGGTTCGTTTTGTCTTTATGAAAATATTAGTAACTCTTTTTGACGTTTTCTTGCCTTTGATAGTCTGTTTTCTCTAAGCTGTTTTGTCCTTTCTTTTCCCCCTGCTTGGTGATCCCCTGCGTTATGACTCTCAGCTCATATTTCAGGGTAGGATGCAAAGGCGGGTTTGGAAGCTCTAGGCAAGTGGGTGGGGCTCGTGGGCAGATCCTCACTGGAGGACTGTGCCTGGGCTGCTGCTCACCCCCTTGTTAGTGTTTTTAGGCTTTTCCTTTTAGGCTGATCAGATTCCTCAGAAAAATTACTTCTGAAATCCTGCCCAGAGAGTAAAGGTTTGCCCAGCAAACCTGTAGCATCTGCGTGGGAAAAACGACACGGGTGGGACTCAGCGTTCAGCCTACAAATGCTCACTTAGCCCCTGTTTTTACTGCGGCACTCCTTGTAGTCTTCTAGCCCAGATGCATCTCTGTTTTACTCTTTTTAGGAAAAAAAAAAAAAAATTATTCTGGCCTTCTGCCAGATTAAAGTCCAGGGTTGGGGCGGGGGGAGCAATTATTCATTTGTACCAAGTGAAGCCGATCTCAGATCTCAGACTTTTAACTGCTGCTGCTGCTGCTGCCGCTGTTGTTGTTGTTGTTTGAGATGTAGTCTCGCTCTGCCGCCCAAGCTGGAGTGCAATGGCGCGATCTCAGCTCACGGCGGCCTCCGCGTCCCAGGTTCAAGCAATTCTCCTACCTCAGCCTTACTAGTAGCTAGGATTACAGGCATGCGCCACGATGCCTGGCTAAGTATTTTGAAGTTTTAGTAGAGGCAGGGTTTCACCATATTGGCCAGGGTGGTCTCGAACTCCTGACCTTGTGATCTGCCCTCCTTGGCCTCCCAAAGTGCTGGGATTACAGGCGTGAGTCACCGCTCCCGGCTGCTGCTTCATTTTTTAATAACCCCACCCTTTGCCCCACCAAGCTTGACTGCTGCTTAAATGGACAGCTAAAACATCCTCTTTGTATTGGTTCCTGATTTCCAGAGGTACCCGCTGCTGTGCATTACTAAGAATTTTGGAGATTTTGTGTGTAGATTACGTTGCTTACTGTCTTTTTCCTCCCCTGGCTTAGCTTTTCAGTTTCTTAGAATTAATAAGTCATGTATCACTAATCTGTCTGCTTTCCAGCTTCTAAAATTTTATCATCGTCTGTTTTCCTATTCTCCCCTTCCTTGTCGGTTTAGGGTTGCCTCCATCCTCCTCCCCAACACCCCCAAAATTTCTTGACTGTCATGTTTGTGAAAGGGTGAAAGTTCAATTCAATGTATTTAGCTCTGCAGTTTAGGGAAATCTTTGTATTTCCTTCACCAGGAGAGCAATGGTTTTATCTCCATCTTCACTCTGTTCATCCCACAGTGCTTACCTGGGGTATTGTTTTTAAATAGAGTCTGGGATGGCGTCTATCTTCGTGGGAATTGATTAGAATTGTCTAGTCTCTGCAGAAGATGAGGTGTTTAAAGCACACACATCACACATACCAGCAGTGCTTTTGCATAATTTAATATTATCAAATTAGTGGTTAAGAATGGAAAATTCTGACCTACAAGATCTAAATTCTAATTAAAGCTTATTGTTATCTTTATTGTTTTAAATGATAGTATAATGCTATAGCCTGCTATTCATCTGATATGTTTCCATAAGGTGTATGGCCACCCAGTAAATACCTGCTGAATATCTACTGAAAAATGAGGAACTCTTTTACTGAAAAAAATATGAAAGGAATACATTTACCTATTCATCTCATAAGAAATAATATATACAAAACAAGGTATAATATATACAAATATAATATATACAAATATAATATATACAAAACAAAAAAGGCAGTACTTTCATTCTCCCTTGTTTAGAATTTGTGAAGACTTTGCAAACTAAGAAACATGGAAATATTTTGAACATAAAAATGCTAAATATTATGGGACAATACAGATTTCTGATTTCTGGCCACCTCATTCAGAATCATTAAGCACACTAAAAACTACATTTTTATTTGCCTCTTCTTCATCCTCTTCATCTTCCTCTCTCTCTCACTGTTTTTGTTTGTTTGTTTCTTTGTTTGTTTTAACAGCTGCAGCTGCTGGTGGCCAGTCCTAAGTATCCTGAGAGCCCAGAAAAGGTTCACGTTGCCTTGCTGTTTCAAATGTGAAGGCCCAGAGAACAAGCACTGTGGAACTTCCGTTTTCCTGTTCTACCCATGATGGATTTTCAAGGTCATGCTGGGCAATCGAGGCATCATCAATCCTACCTGAGCAAAAAGAATCTTCACCTTATTCCAAATTCAGAAACTGTTTCTGTGCAGTGACTTTCTCCCCTGCTCCATTTCATGACTTTTTTTTTTTTAACCAATTGAGTTTAGAAGTGGGTGTGATCCAGCAATACAATACAATTTACTAAATTACAATTTAGTTGGTGGATTAATTAAAAAGAAATTGCTTATATGAACTTTCATTTTATACATTTCTTTTGCCTTAGTTTTCTTAAACTGAGAGCAGAAATATTTCATCCTTTTTCCTCTAAGTTCAGAATTATCTGCAAAAAGTACTCGTTCTAATCATTCATTAACTCACTTTTTGAAACCAATACCTTATTTTCTCTTTTTTTTCTACCCGATTCCCCACCCATGCCCCCCACAAATATATACCTAAAACCTTTGTATTTGGTGCTGGGTTCAGTATGAAGAGAAATCAGCTTTTTATAAATAAAAATCCTATGTGAACTGGGGCCTGGATAGCACTGAGTTGGAGACCTCTTAACTTGACATGGTACGTGAGTCTTACACAGCCTAGCTTTTTATGAGTTAAAGTTAAAAAACAAAAAGGAAAGACGTCATAAATGACTGCTGTTCTCTCAGTCTGCTCATGCTCATTTGTCTTCCAATGATTATGTTATTAGCAGTGAATCTATACAGGTTTGCATCAAACTTGATTCTTGCCTCCTTGGAGGGAAGAAGTGAGCTGCGGGGCAGAAGTAGATTTAAGGCAGAGGGAGAGACTGAGGCAAGTTTTAGAGCAGGAGCGGTTTATTAAAAAGTTTTGGGGCAGGAACAAAAGGAAATAAAGTACACTTGGAAGAAAGCCAAGTGGGCAACTTGAGAGTTACAAGTGCCCTGTTCAGTGTTTGACTTGTGGTTTTATACATTGGCATGGTTCTGGGGTTTGCATTTCTCCTCCCTTGATATTTTGGGGAGATGGGCTGTCTGTGTGCACAGTGGCCTGCCAGCACTTGGGAGGAGCTATGTGCACAATGTGTTATTGAAGTTGTGTGCATGTTCACTTGTGGCGTTTTCCCTTACCATTCCAGCATTCTTAGAAGAAGGTCATATACCAGTTAAACTCTGCCATTTTGCTGAGTGCACATGCTTGAGCCCACTTGTCCAACTCCTGAGATCTCCAGCTCAGATGTTTTCTGTCTATCGGGAGCCTGCCTTTCCCTGGCACTAGCTGCCACCAATTATTATTTTAAAGAGAGAGTTTAACAACCACCTGACCATCAACTAATGGTCACCTGACATTCCTGTGAGCTGAGGGTGCCCTGTCTTACCCTGCTTATGTTTGCTTATTTACTCTAACAATCATGTCCTGTAAACTTAGATTCTAATATTCTATAATTTGTTTCTTTGCTTTTTTGTTAAGGTTAGGTAAACACACTTCTGTTGGGGGCTTTAATTTATAGATATGTTTAAGCATTGTTATAGATTGACACTTTGAATTGAATTTAAATAGTAACGCTCAGTACCCTCACTAGCCTTGTCGTATGACTTCAATTGCATCTCCTAACTCAGTGTGCCTTTCCAAAGCTTAGCCAATTTGCCTACCATTCCCTGCAGTTGACTTGCTATTTTTTATCCTCCTGTCTCTACTGATGATTGAAAAGAAGGAGAAACTCTATTGGCCATAGAATAATTACACTGTCTCCCTGCCAATTCTAAACTTTATTCCTCTGGTTATCTTTTTCAGATTAAGTTTCACCCTTAATAGTGTCACTCCTTTTTTAGGATTCTTTGGGCTCTTGTGTCTTTATTTAAGAGTCTATTATTTATATAGATTTTCATGTGATTTGTAATGGTTCCTTATCATTTTTTGAATGCATGGATTATCTTTCTTGTTCTGATTGTAAATTCTCTGTGGGCAGGGGTTATATCTTCTAACTCTCTTGTATGCCTAGTATAGTGCTGTGCACAAGTAGGCACTGGATAAATGCTTGTTAATTAAATTGAATCAATTTAACTTACAGCAATTGCATCATGAGACAAAAACTTCTGTTATGTTATTTGCATGAAAAAATGTTACTATAGTGTAAGAAATGAATTATTTGTTGAGAGGCTGAGTTTATTTAATTAGATTATAATACAAATGAATAAATAAAGCTAGTGTTTATTTCTACTTGGATCATGTTTGCACTGTGTAGTAGTAAGATTAGCAAATTGATTTATTGTTTTGTCATATTTACAATGTGAATTGCACTTCCTTCTCTTGATCTACTTCATAAGAACGATGAGAGATGAAAAACTGTTTCCCAAAGACATTCATCTCCTACAGGCAGTGTACTTTCAGTCTTACCGTGTTGCCCAGGCTGGAGTGCAATGGCGCCATCTCGGCTTACTGCAACTCTGCCTCCTGGGTTCAAGCAATTCTCCCTGCCTCAGCCTCCCAGGTAGCTGGGATTACAGGTGTCTGCCACCACGCCCGGTTAATTTTTGTATTTTTTAGTAGAGACAGGGTTTCACCATGTTGGCCTCGCTGGTCTTGAACTCCTGACCTCCGATGATCTGCCTGCCTCGGCCTCCCAAAGTGCTGGTGCTGGAATTACAGGCATTAGCCACCACGCCCAGCAGGCAGCGTACTTTTGAATGAATGAATGTTCATATTATAATATTCAGACATGATATGCCAAGTTTTAGTATTTCTGTAAATTAAAAAATACGTTGGAGTTTCATAGCACCTAAACACTCACCTGATTTAAGTTAAGCAGTTTTAGAAGTTTTAACCCTTTCAGTCTCCAGAGAATTGTTGAAAATGTTTTCATATTACTATATAGACAAGACTCTGAAGCAGTGAAGACCGCTTCCAAAACCATTTTATGGCTATTCAGAAAATAGCCTTCCACTAGGATGATCTGATTGCTATTATTTATTTCTGTATCTTCATCCATATTTAATAATCAAAGCTATTGGAGAAATTTAGAAGGCAAAGAAGCAAACAAAAATCTGTACTTCTTACTCTTTCTGAGAAAAATAAAAAAGGTCTGAGAAATATATGCAAAAACTAGATTTATCTAAAGAGCTTTGCTATTCATTTGAAAATCTAAGAAACTGCATTTCAACATATTCTTTGAATTATTTAGGCTTCTCAGAGAAACACATAGTTAATCTTTATCAAGGGATTTATATTAACAAAATGTTGACCTGAGCTATGTTTTCTTATCCTGATGGATCTCTACAAGTATGAGAGCCAGAAATATAACCAAAACTGTAAGTAAGCAGGGTTTCAAAAACAAGAGGCTCAAGAATGAGATTGGCCTGTGTTCTCAGCTCTCAGTGCACATATGCACTTGAATTCTTGGAGGAAACTTTGAGACCTAACCTTGATGTTAAAAAAAAAAAAAAAAAAAAAAAAAAAAGCAAACCCACAGAACTATAGTCATAGCCTTTATTCCCATGTCACTCTCATAAGAAGGAAATGCCATTGTATGATGGCATCAGGACTTCTCAAGCCTTGTCATGAGATATCTTTTTCTCAAAGTTCTTTTGCAATGGATCATCTTGGCTATTTGGCCTCAAATGGACCAGCTGCCCTTTTCCAGGACTGATTTTGATGACTCAGTAGTTACGAATAATGAAAAAATTGTGTACATAAAATATTTGTCCTCTTCTGACAAGTTAGATATTGTATCATACACGTTTTCTTCATATATACCACAAAGAAGTTTCCATACAAAATGGGGATGGTTATTTAAAAATTTATAAAATGGTGCATATTAATGATGGCACATTTGGAAAATGTTAATAAAATAAAAATGTAAAAGAACTCCCACAATTCCACCATGCAAAATAACTTCTGTTAACATTTTTTTTCAAATTTGCAATTATGTATGCATAGACACAATAAAATAGCGTGGATCATAAGATATATCTAGTTTTATCCCACTTTTTAATTAAACATTTTCCTATGTCACAAAAATTACTTCAGAACATCTTAATAGTTATAAAATATTCCTTTACATTAATATAGCATAATTACTTTAGTGATTCTACTTTGTACACTTAGATAATTTAAAGATTAAATTACAAAGATTAACTTTAAAGTAGAAAGATTAACTTTAAATTTGAGACCTTTTAGAAGAAATTTTTGTGTGAAAGCATTAATTGTCAATACAGACATTTAAATCAATATATACACATTTCAAGGCAGTTGTGGTCAATATATGGATCAATTATATTACTACTACTCAATAGGTTTTCTATTTCATAGCAATGAGCCTTAGGAGTCACTAAATTTTTCTCTTGATACTATTTTATTTGTGGTTACATAAAATCTCTATAGGAATTAGCAGTTTTTCTTTTAAAGAAGTTTTAAGGTTAAGGAAATTTTAAAAACCATTATTTGGAAGCCAAATCTCACATGCTGCATAAAATCGAATATCATCTACATCTGATAACCAATCCAAAGTACCACCTATGAAATTAACTTTTTTCTGTTTGATTAATAAATCTTTGGTATTAGTTATATTTATGTTTTTATTTAATTATTAAAAATAACCCAAAATTACTCTTTTACTCAGTGAAAACAGATAGAGTTCCTGATATTTTATTATGATTTGAATTTTTGAATTGTCACCTTCATGAAGGTCATGTTTCTCAGGTTATGATCATGGTTCAAAAGTAAAGCCCAGGGGACAACAGGAGAAAAATGGCAATAGGGGAAAGTAGGAAGCAGGACTAACTTGCAGCTCCCACTCAGGCAAACAGAACAGCATGTGGAGATTCACATTGTCAACTTTTGCACCAGGCAATACTGCAGGAACATACCAGAAAAGCCAAGGGAATCCACAGACTCTTTGGAGGAAGGAGCTTGTCTCTGCAGGCTTTGTGAGACAGCCGAAAAACTGTTGAGTGTGCAAAGCGTGAGGGGTAACAGCCCCAAACACCCATGCTCACTGGAGAACCTGAAGGTCCAGATCACAGGAGGATTAGTCCTTACTGGGAAATGAGATAAATTTGTAGAGAATCGAGCAAAATAAAGGGGTTAGAGGAAGCAGTGGAAAGAGCCCTGTGGTCATCTTGGTCTCAAGGGAAGCTATTTCTGACTTTGTCTTATGGGGGTCCTTGGGGGGGACTGCCAGTAAAATTGAGGGAAGACCACAGTGGGGAAGGACATTTCCAGCTGCACTTTGTAACAGTTTTGCCTAAACACAAAATTTCTTGGACATACTCTGGGGGAAGGGGCGAACTGGGATGCAGATACCAGTACAGAAGCTGCAGCACACAGGGAGGTGTGAACCTGAAAACCCGGCCTGCTTTCTCAGCAGGGAGGCTTGTATCCTAGGGCGAGTTCTCAGCCTTACTCACCAGCTACCTCTAAGTAAACTCAGTGCTGTTGGTGGGACACAGTGAGAGAGAGACACTCACCTTTCTGACTGCACGAAATCTGGGTGAGACCTGTCGCTGCTGGCTTTCCCTTACTTCCCTGGTGACCTGTATGATGCAGCAGAGGCAGCTATAATCCCCCTGAAAACAACTCCATTGGCCTGGGAACCTCACCTCTGTTCCCTACAGCAGCCACAGCCCCAAGGAAAGTCTGAGCTCAAACTAATCCTGTTCCCAGATGATGGTCTTTCTCTGCCTGTGCTGGCAGCCGAAGACAAAGGATATCATCTCTTGGGAGCTCTATGGTCCTGCCCACCACCTGAGAAACCCAAATACTTTTCCAGGCTACCTTAGGGCAAACTTGTATCTTCCCTATACTACTGCAGCTGGTGCTCTCTTGAAAGTGCCACCTCCTGGCCAGAGGCCAACTAACACAAAACC